CGACCCGGATGTGACAATCGAGGACGTCGGCGGAGGTGGCCGGGCGAGGAGGGAGGTGGCGCGTGCGGCTACCGAGCGAGGAGGGGTGGCGCCGTCCGGCTGGGCATTGCGGGCGGAGCGGCCGACGGAGTGTAGCTGGCGCGCTCGCCGGCGACCTCCTCCTCTACCTCTTCCTCCTCCGGCAACCTCCGTCACCCGCGGCCTGCCGCCGCTCCGCCCGCCCCTCCGCCTCGCCGCCGCTCCCCGCAAGGACGAGGGAGAGCGAAGAGGAAGAGAAACGAGAGTTGAGAGGGACTTGTGGGGCCCACGTGGGCCCCACCATTCTTTTATTGATTTATGTGTGAGACTGACATGTGGGTCCCACGAAGTTTATTATTTTTCCGGATCAAATTGCTACGTATGCGCCACGTCAATGCCACATCAGATGAAGACCAAGTCAAATTTGCCACGTAGGCGCCACGTTAGCCAAAACCACCGTCAAAACCGCCGAGGGACCTCATCTACACTGGTTTTGATAGTTGAGAGACCCGTTGTATCTGGTTTTGCGGTTGAAGGACGAAAATCGGATTCGTTGACAAGTTAAGGGACCTCAGATGAACTTATTCCATGTGGTTTTTCCATGATGGAAGCAGTGATTTTTTTTTATTAAGTTCACTTTAGATCCCTCAACTTGACAGCGAGTTCGATTTTGTCCTTCAACCGCAATACCAGATACAACGGGTGCCTCAACTATTAAAACAAGTACAATATAGGTCCTAAGACGGTTTGGATGGTGGTTTCAGCTGACGCTACCCACTAGCACGTGGCTCCCACTATTGTTTGATTGACATATGGGTCCATATATTTTGTTTTAATTTTTAAATTATTAAATTTTGCTTAATGTGCCATGTCAATACCACGTAAGATGAAGACCAAATCAAATTAGCCACGTAGACGCCACGTCAGCTGAAACCGCCATCCAAACCGCCTTGGGACTTATATTGCACTGATTTTAATAGTTGAGGGACCCGTTATATCTGATATTGCGGTTGAAGTACGAAAATCGAACTCGCTGTCAAGCTAAGGGACCTAAAGTGAACTTTTTTTTTTCAAACGCAAAAAAGCTAGCGCGGAAGTTTTCCATCAATTCAGTATATGAAGAGAAAAAGAGTACATCTGCAATAGACGGTCATTTCGAAATACTATATCATAAGTCGTTTTGACTTTGGTCAAAGTTAAACTACTCTAAATTTACAACACAAACACCAAATTAGTTTCATTAAATTAGTAATTAAATATATTTTTATAATACATTTGTCTTGGGTTGAAATTTTTTTATTTCTTTTTTCTACAATAGTTTAACTTTAACCAAATTCAAAACAACTTATAATCTAAAAAAAAGCTTAAAAAGGCAATTACAACCACATATATCGGTTGTTCGGTCGGTGTGAACATATATACCGTCACGATCGATGTGTCATACTGTCAGTGTCACATGTGTTCGTTGGATCCCGATGACACGGATCGCTCGCTTGAGGTGCATGGAAGTATGGCACCGTGCGTCAATGCACGGGGACGCCGTCGCATTCGGAGGGAGTAAGACGACGTACGTGCAGACTCCGTGCAGAGCGGTGCAGAGAACGACGGCGACGACAGAATGTGAGCCTGCCTCCTCGTCGATTCGGCCGCGGCTCGTGTCAATGCAACCGTTCTAGTCCCCGTCAGTCAGACGGCAGTACGGCACTTCCTCAGGTAAAAAACATTCGGTGTGATCTGGGCCTGTCTGTGAGGGGGAAAAGTGTGTGGATCAATGGCAATGGTAAATCGATAGTACTTCCGGTTGTGATCAACTGATCACGTACGAGGCTTTTTCTTTTGCTTATGCTACCAACAAATAATTCTGTTTTCCTTGTGCCAGAGAGGGAAACATTACCCATTTCTATTTCTGATATCCGAAATGATCTTACGGTAATATGACTTTTAACAAGCTAACACGGTCTTTCGAAGATGTTTATATGGCTAGAGTATACGTTTGAATTTATAGTGGTGAATGCGCATACATATGGAAGCGTCTAATATAATGTTGTGTTTCTTTGAAAAATATTATTTGCAAAATTATTTAATCGGATAAAGTAGAGTATATATATGATATAAAGAGAATCTACACTACGTGAGGACCAGAAATATCGCATGCCCCATGCATGCCGAAAGAGCAACATCTTTGACACAGTACGGGTGCAATTTTGCTATGAACAGTTGACATTCCACCCAACGAAATCGAACAACCGGGTTCGCTGTTCATCCCGCGGAGGCGTCCGATGCCGACTCAACTCGACTGAAGCGGTTGGGGGTGGTCAACACGCTTATCTAGCTCCAGTCCTCCTTCCAAACAAGCGGAGGAGCAACCAATCATCAATTCATTTCGCAGCAATCCAACTCCCTGATTATTAAAACCGTGTCACCCTAATCATACATAAAATCCTAGTTCCACACGGAGATTTAATTATTCAGAACCCCCAACGCCTGAACTGTTGTTCTTTAATCGAGAAAGATAAACTGTTCTTGCTCTCGCGTTCTGACAAACGAAGTGATCCCTAGACTAGAAGTCTTCAGATTTGGCTGTAAAATGGACTAGCAGGGCACACGTCAATAATAGCAGTAGAAAGCCAGAAACGCATATGATCGGAACTGAACGATTCTCATTTGTCCATATCGACCACGTTACACATGAGACTTTACTCCAAACACGCAAATACGTAAAACGAGGTGGTTCATCAGTACGCGATTAATTAAGTATTAGCTAATTTTTTTAAAAAATAGATTAATATATATTTTTAAAGCAACTTTCGTATATATTTTTTTTAAAAAAACACCGTTTAGAAGTTTGGAAAGCATGCGCACGGAAAACGAAACGTGGTGTGGTTGAGAGCACAAGCTGCCGAATGCAGCCCAAGTATATACGGTTATCTCTCTACTGTCATAAATACTTGATGTTTAGAATAAAATTAAATTAAACTTTTAAAATTTCAAACATCAATTTTATATAATAGAATACATATATAAAATCAAAAGTTTACAAGTCAATGTGTATAATTTCTTTTATTTTAAAACTAAGCATTTGAGGAGCTATTGATGATCGGAATTTTGAAAGGCTAACCGAATTATATTCTAAATATTAAATATCTAGGAAACGGGGAGTACTACAGAAACAAGTCTGAACAATTGTGTGAAATGGGTCACCCTTGGGGCTTGTTTGGATCCTTCGGGCTATTAAATATCCCTCCGGAATCTTGCTATTTAGGAGTATTAAACGTAGATTATTGATAAAAACCATTCCATAACCCCTAGGCTATTTTGCGAGACGAATTTAACGAGGTATATTAATCTATGATTAGCGAATGATTACTGTAGCATCACTGTAGCAAATCATGGATTAATATACCTCGTTAGATTCGTCTCACAAAATAGCCTAGGGGTTATGGAATGGGTTTTGTCAGTAATTTACGTTTAATACACCTAAATAACAAGATTTCGGAGGGCTATTAAATAGCCATCTGGATCCAAACTGATATGAACAAAATAGACGCTGCGAATTATCTAATCGGCAATGACGAAGTAAAGGCTCAATCATACATTGACAGATTAATGCAAATGATCAGCCAGCACCCAGCAGTAACCTACTCCCTCCATCCTATAACTCCATCCTATAATAGTGATTTTAAGATTTTACTTGCAACATTTGACCACTCGTCTTATTCAAAAAAATTTTAAAATTATTAATTATTTTATTTATGACTTACTTTATTATCTACAGTATTTTAAGCACAACTTTTCGTTTTTTTATATTTGTAAAAAAAATTTAAATAAGACAAGTGGTCAAACGTTCCAAGAAAAACTGAAAATCTAGAACGGAGGGAGTACGATGATTGACTATTCGTCTAGTTGCATTGACAGGGCAGCAAAAGCCGGAAGGCATTAATTAGTGAGGTGGGGAGAGTGGACTGTAGACTTCGAATTGGAACCCGGAATACTCCAGTATTCATCTCGCCTGCTTGTTTGTACGTGGTCTAAACTCATAAATGTTGGCTGACATTTGCCTTTTCGTTTACACAGCTTAACGTAAACAGGGCTCGACGATTTAACTATCAAAACAGGGCTCGACGATTTAACGATCGAAACTTTGTCAGATCACGGCCCTAAATGGACCAGCCCCATGGAAAATGGCCGGCGGTCAACACAAATTTCTAAAAGGCACAGTTTGCAATGTATATACTGAGCTGACCATTTTCAGCATTTTTATATAGCAATAGGATAATTTTATATCCTTAAGAGTTATTTGGAGGTAACATATTTTATAGTGTAAAATTTGATACCTCTGAGTATTAATTATCTCAAGGTATTAAAAATTTTAATGTAAAATTTAGATACCTTAATTTACTTTTTTTAAGTACTATAAAATTCCTCGTAAAAAATTACCTTATCTTAGAAGAAACGAGATAGAGTCATTAATTAAAAAAAATTGAGTGAAAACCATAACTAAAACAACAACCAACTAAGCTAATAACTACCAACATGGAAGCAAGACACAACCAAGCTGAAGGAACAAGAAAACTCCCCACACCCCGGCCACAACCCAACATCATCACCATCACACGTCTCCGACTACGTTGGGAAGCATAAAACAACGACAGCAATTTAAACCCGTGCCAAAACACAACTTGATTGGGCTCATGTTAGCAATGTATACCAGAAACATATTTTTTTTTGGGCATACATCTTGTTTAAAACAACGAGTATCATTGCTTTTTTTTAAAAAAAGGTGATAGAATATGCATGAGGATAGTATTCATGTGCCAAAAGCTATATTTGTAGAAGTAAGATCCAAATTAGACCCCTTATATGTCAACACAAACAGCTTGTTAGTTGCATTCATGCGGATACTAGAAAGAAAGATCACGTTCACATGTCTCAAATTGAAGGACCTTGTTAGTTGCATTTGCACATAGATACAAATTACTTCATATAAATCTACCATCCAATCCTAGGTTAGTACTCGTTATTAAGATTAGCAACCAAATATATATCTTCTCATTATTAAGAGCATACCCAACAAATACCTAAAATCCATCTCTAAAATATTGTCTTTGGAAATTCCTGGTTTGATTTTAAGGTGTAAATTATTATTTTTATCTCCAACAGACATCTTAAAGTTAACTCCCAATAATAAAAAGTGAACCCACCATAGTAACAGATAAAAAACAGAAATCATTCATTCCATCCCCACACATCTATAAGAGAAAATTTGGAGCAACTTGTTAAAACAAAATATAATTTAGAATTAGGTTTCACTTCGGGGTGCTGTTAGCTATACTTTATCACCCACCTAAGTTAATCCTGGCCTTGAAGGGGATCTGAAAAAAAATAGTGTGAAATTATTCGCCTCAGTTCCCCCTCTCTTGGGGATTAAACAAACAAGACCTTATATGGACCGTGCTTCCAACTACCCCAAACTTCTAATTTTCTATCATATTACATCACATCCAAAACTTTTCTACACACACTTCCAGCTTTTTTTCCAAGCTTATAATTTTCCCCAAACTTCTAATTTTTTTTAGGAACTAAACACAGCAATGGTCTAGCCCTGTGCTTTATCCAGTCAATTTCCCTTAGTGTATCTAAAAAAGATTGTAAAATGTACTACTTTCACTGGCCAGGTTTATCTAATCCATAATCTAAAAGGAACCGTACTATCGCATCTCCAAGACTCCATGTAACCACTACACACGTCTTACGTCTACACCGTGGAATCCAACAGCGAGATCAGTGCGAGGCGAACGCCGCAAGAATCTCTCTTGACGCCTACCTTCCCAGATCGAACGTTCCCACCCTCATCTTCCTCCTCCCCTCCCCTCTCCTCTCCTCTCCTCCCGCTACTCCGGAGACCAGATGCGCCGCGTCGCCATGGCCTAGTGGAGATCGTTCGTGGAGATCTCCTCCTACGTGCGCGCGTGAATCGGTCGGGCGGCGATCGAGCCGAGGTGAGGTGTGTCCATGGTGGTTACCAAGATGCGGTGGGCAGACGACGGCGGCGAAGGCGACGACGACGACGATCTCCGGCTGCCGGGCGCCGGGAGGCGTTCGCCGTCGCTCGGCATCCTGGCGTTCGAGGCGGCGTCCACGATGACGAAGCTCCTGTCGCTGCACCGGTCGCTGTCGGAGAAGGAGGTGGCGAGGCTGCGGTCGAACACCATGCGGGCGGCCGGCGTGGAGTACCTTAGCTCGACCGACCAGGCGTTCCTGCTCCGGCTGGCCTGCGCCGAGGCGGTGGCGGCGCTGGACGCCGCGGCGGCGGCGGTCGCGCGGCTCGGCGCGCGGTGCGGGCTCGACTTCGCCGGGCCGTACGCGAGCCTCAAGGCCGGCGCGCCCGACGCGCGGCTGGACCAGTTCGTGGCGAAGGGGCTCAAGGTGAAGGCCAAGAGGATGGAGCGGCTCGTCGCCGCCACGGCGAAGCTCTGCGCCGAGATGGAGGCGCTCGACAAGCTCGAGGCGGCGGAGCAGAAGCTCGCCCGACGTGGGTGGGGCCGCCTCAGCGTGCCGATCCCCTCGCCGGCCGCCGCCGCCGTCGACGCGGTGGGCTCCGACTCGCTCCGGCTGGGTATCAGGGCGCAGCGCGCCAGAGTGCGGCGGCTCAAGGAGGAATCGCTCTGGAGCCAGAGCTACGAGAAGGCCGTCATCCTCATGGCCCGCGCCGCCTGCGCGGTGTTCGTCCGCGTCTGCGTCGTCTTCGGCGCCCACGTCCCCGGCCTGCCCCCGCCGCTCCCTCCCGCCGAAGCCGTCCACAGCCGCCTCTCCAAGCTTCTGCTCCACCCAATGTCGGCGGCGGCGCAGCCCAGGTCGTTGTCAGGGCCCATCCAACGTCGAGACGTGCCGCTGCGCATCGAGATGAGCAGCAACTCGTGCCCGATCATACGCTCGCATTGCCAGCAGCCATGGCAGACGTCGCCGCCGGGCGTCGACTGGAGGAAGCTCCTCGAGCCGCCGCCGGGCACGGTGGGCGGCGCGGGGCTGGACCTGCAGTACGCGAACGTGATCACCACCGCGGAGCGGCTGCTGCTGGAGACGGACCACGCCGAGGGGCGGCAGCGCCACGAGGAGGCGCGCGCCGAGCTGTACGCGATGCTGCCGTCGAAGCTGCGTGCGGCCGTGCGGGCGAAGCTGCGTGGATGGTGGAGGGAGCGCGGCGCCGCGGCGGCGGTGGCGGTGGAGCTGGACGCGGGGCTCGCGGAGGGGTGGAGGTCGGCGGCGGGGCGCATCCTGGCGTGGCTGGCGCCGATGGCGCGGGACACGGCGCGGTGGCACGCGGAGCGGAGCCTGGACAGGCAGCGGCGGTTCGAGGTGGGCGGCGGCGGCGGCGGCAGCGCGCGGGCGTGGGCGCTGCAGACGCTGCGGTGGGCCGACGCGGAGAAGGCGGAGGCGGCGGTGGTGGAGGTGCTCGTCGCGCTCAGCTGCGTCGGCTGGTACGACGAGCGGCGGCGGGTCGCGTCGCTCCGTTTCTGAGCTAGCCGCCTCTTTGGCTTCCACGCCGGTGGCCTCGCCGCAACGGCGCAGCACCGGCAACGGCACGTAGGTACGTGCATGGAACGGTGAAAAAATTTAGAAGAACTAGTTTGCCCCAAATGGGACCGATTCTTTGTAAAATACTAGTATTTTTTTTAATTCGATTCTTTGTATAATAATCTGTTCATATACGAGTTCCAAGAGTAACACCACGAAATTGTGTCCCGCCTTGCCTGCTGGACTTTTTAGGCTGTTCCCACTTCTCAGTCCGAGCACTTCGTTGATGGCCACTTCGAAGTCGACGCGTTCACAAGCATCTCTCTCTAGTTCTCGTCAGCACTGGGTAGCGGCCGTTTAACTGTTTGCTCATTGCTGCTTTCTTCAGGGTCGATATTACTATTACGAGTAATTTGAGTAAAACTTACTGCCTCTATAGTTTTATCTCTACTTCCTCCATCCTATAAAAAACAATCTAATACCGGATGTGACATATTCTAGCTGTTTTCAAATTTATCGTACTAAAATATATCATATCTGGTACTAAATTCGTTTTTTATGGGACGAAAGGAGTAAATCTAGAAATGATATAGAAATGATAAGTGTCAGCTCCATTTGGTCGCTCAATGGAAGTAGCGGCCTAGCGGGTGATGTTCTACGCAAATAATAGAGCTTAACATTATCTATATTTTAAAATAATTCATTACCAAACACACTCCATTTGCTAGTTACAAAAGGCGACATACATTTTCACCAAATTCGCTGATTCACTTACCGAAAATAGTTCTAAAAGCAAAATCTACCCATGGCTATCTTCATAATTAGTTCAACATTTCAATCACCTGCTGTCATTTACAAATGTGTGAAACAAATAAAAAACTATGGCTGAGTTCGAGGAGAAGGAGGAGACAGAGAAGATATGCAAAACGATATGAGCCATTACCACACGATTAATTGAGTATTAATTATTTTAAATTTAAAAAATGGATTAATATGATCTTTTAAAGTAACCTTTCTATAGAAATTTTTTTAAAAAACGTACCGTTGAGTAGTTTGGGAAACATGCGCATGGAAAACAATGTCTTTCTCTCCAATCACCCAATGAACGAACGCAGCCAGTTATTGTGGCATGTACAAACGTTAAGTGCATGTACAAACGTTAAGTCTGATACGAGCTCTTAGGGTGTGTTTGGTTGGGTGGATGAGCCTGGATGGGAGATGGCCGTCCGAATTTTTGTGGTGTTTGGTTGGAGGGCAGGGTGGATGGGGCGGCCCAGAATAGGGAATATTCCCTCAATATGCTGGATGAGTGCATCCGGCCTATTTGGTTGGATGAAGCCATCCAGTTTTAGTCTGGGTGATGTGTCATATTCTAATTGGCTGTGGTTGGTTTGATTTTCTGTTAAGCAAGCTTTAAATGATTTTTTCTACTAAACCGTTTATCTAATTTATGGTTTGATTACACCATTATATTTGTTACAATTAAATTTTTAAAACAAGATCTCGAATGATTATATTATGATTAAAATATATATACGACAAATGGATCCCACTAACTTATGGCTTCTCCCATCCATACTATATCCATCTAAACAAACAAGAAATTAGATCGCCATATCCATACAAATCTAACAAAAAATTAGATCGCCATATCCAACAAAATATGGATGGCCATATCCCATCATGCATGACCGTGAACCAAACACATCCTTAGTTAATACATACTATTTTTCTGCAATAGCTAAGACAATAAAAGCTCTAAACCATTAATGCCCATGAATTTTTTTATTACTTTTTTTTCCTTTTATCCACCCCATGCAATAATTTTTTTCTTTAATAAATGCTAAAAGTCACCACTGAGCCATTTTCATGCGTAGCAACCATATTTTTCTTTCCTCCCCTTTCTCTCATCCATGTTACCAAATTTATTCAAATTTATTTTGCATGGCAACGGAGAAAGTCCGTTAAGCACTGTTGTACATGCTCTAGAGCAATAAATCTCATTTATGCAATTAGGGTCCGTGCATGTTAAATTCTTCTAAAAACAGTTAGGCGCAAAATTCTGAAGGAGAAATTCATATATATATTGGTGCATTTACAGGCTTACAACCGCAGATTATTGCATAGTACCATTCGTTAGATTGTGGAGGCTACATGACCCTGCCGATCCGGGTATCAACAACTGTTGGTTTTGAAGGTCCTGAAAATTCCAAGGCTTCAGCTAATGTTAATCTACTATTCCTCCAAGCATGTTCTGCCCATTCTTTCATCCGTTCACCTTCGGCTCTTCTATTTGACTGAATAAGCAACAATTCTGCATACTCTCCTGAAAGTTGAACATGTAAAGACAAATTCAGTATGGCCTCAACTAGAATGGGACTATGGGAGTAGAAGCATCCATACAAGCAACATCAACATAGAAATCAATGAGTTGAAAAAAAATTGCTGATTATTTGATTGCTGCCAGTTTAAAACAACAATCAGCATATGATTGCGTCCAATCGACTATATAAAAAAATGTTATATTTGTTGGGGCTTAGAAAATCGCAGCTCGGTCTAGCATTTGTGCGCAAGAAGGCACTACGCCTGTTTGTCAAATCTAAGAATTGTTTTCCCCGATACAAAAATTATTAGAAATTTGTGTTCACACATGACACATCCCTTGATGAGCTCCAACAGAAGTAATATATCACGAAATCCTACTTTACTAAACAAACAGGCAGGGCAGATTTGGATGCCATATTGTTAGGTTATAGTGAAGTTAGCTGTCAATCAATCATGGTGACAATTTTCTCAATTTTAAACTATATATATGCCATAATCCTGGATGCACCACACAACTAGTTCTTTAAAAGTTGCATTTGATGTAATGATCTTATTTAAGAGTTTGGTGCAATAAATTAAAGAAGGGATTAATAGGAGCGATAGTTCAGAGTGTAACCTCTAGCAAGGGAGATGATGTCCCTCCAATCCATCTGCTTGCTCACACCTAAAAAATAAAATAAAATAATAAAATCCTCAAGTGGTTAAAACGAGCCATATCATAAGAGATTATTGTTTTACCCTCAGAGTTAATGGCAGGGGCTCTTAATACTTCTAGGGCCTTCCTGTATAACCCCTGTAATACACAGCTGGTTTGATAAGCTCAAAGTCCCAACCCACCCAGACTGAAAAAAGTTTACTCACAGCATCTGTACTCTGTAGTCTGTAGAGCAGTGATAATTATAACTGCGAGCAAACTCGTTCGAGAAAGTACATGAATTGTCTCATCATTAAAACTAAAGATCAAAGGAACAAGGCCATTATAGTTTCTACTGATGGACAACAGGGCAAGCAGAACAGGAATGAGATATTTACTGACCTCCTGAACCATTATTGAGCTAGAACCTTCTGCTTTTGCTTTCAGTTTGTACATTCTAGCTACACAAGTCAATACAATGCCAACCTTTGGGTGATTTGCCCCTGCATGGATTAAAAGCTTGCAGTATTGGTAACTTATAGGCAATTGATTCTGCCATTATTTATTATTATATTATTTAATAAATTAGCTTGACAAACCAAATTGATCTTCAGCCTTCTTTAGCGCCCTTGTGAGATAATCCTCTGCCTCACTGAACTTCCTGGTTTGAAAGGAAAAGGCAAGTGCTCTCAGTTGGAAGATGGAACAAAAGGGAAGGGGGAACACAGAATTGCTACATTTCAAAAGCCAAATGCTCCCAAGTTTATCAAGCAAACATTAGGACTAAAAAGGACAACATAAAAGATTCAGAAATTGTCATCTTACCCTGAATGTGATAAAAGCTGGCCATATGAACAGGTGGCCCCAAGAGAAACCTCCTCAGGAACCATGTTACATGTGGCTAAAAAATTTCCAGACATGTCTTCCATGGTTAATGCCTCCAGAACCCTTTCATACATTTGAGTAGCCAAAGGAAAATCCCCAACACAGTGCAGATATTCACAATATGAAAGTACAGCATTTTCTGTAAGGAACATCACTATTGTGTATGAAATAATTGCAGGGAAGAATGTGAAAGGCCAAATTGTCTCAGAGACTTCCATACCAGTTTGTTTATTGCCTACTCCAGCACATAGGTCCTTGCACCCGTCGAAGAACAGCTGGGCTGGTAAGAACAGCTGTAAATCATTTTGGACAAAATGCCTTACCTATGATCTACAAGAGATAGGCCATTGTAAATAAAAATAACCTGATTCCGTCTCTCCATTTAGAAGTGCAATAAGCCCTTTGATAGCATTAACCCGACATTTCAGATGGCCCTGATCTGACCATTTGATATTATCATCCTTGATTGATAGATCGACCAAATCATCTGGGGACACTGAGGTGTTGATAACCTGTGTTTAAGGTAATCATGAAAATAATTCACCTAAAACCATACAAGGCTAAATGTGCTTGAGTGCTGTGGAAAACCTGGCCCGCTTCCATGCACAGCCCCATTGTTGCTTCCCATGCTGCAACTGCACATTATTTACCAAAATATATAACATCAGTTAAGATCAAAAGCTTCCCTCTCCTCAACTCTTTCCATATCAAATGATGATTTACATTCTTACTCGACAAAAGATAATTGTAAGCTTGTAATGTTCCAGATCAAAGATATATCACCGTTTAACTGAGTGCTAGACAAATTACACACACCAACACCCTTCCACTTCATATAGAAGGGCTAACACAATGGTAGACATGCATTTGTCCGTGTGTTCATAACTTAGTATGTTGGTATTATCTACTCAATTAACAATGTGGCACTAAAATGTGCTCCCGAGCGGCAATTTTTCTATTGGGTCTAGGCTACAATAATTGAATAACCATCAGATCATCAAATGATAAGTTCCAAATATCTGTAGTTTTTCCTTGTCTCTGGTGGCTGCTAAAATCACAAGATAAATATGAGACTTGGGAGACCCATTTGTTTGAGAAGTTCACATAGCTAGTATTTCAGCCTGCTCCCAATACAGAATGCTACTTAGTAAACTTTAGTATTTACAGAAAGGACTATAAAAGCACCTCTGAAAGCTGCAGGAGCAACTTGGTTGGTTGCCTTGAGTTTTTCCATTGCTTCTTGGCGTCTTCCACTGTACCGAGAAACTAACATGATGTTACTCAAACTACTCAACTGGGAAGGTAAAATTAGAAAAGTTAAATCCAGTATAAAATGGGAGTTGTGGGCAGTTAAACATCATTATCTAAAGGAAATGGATATTAATTTCCCACAAGTGATACCAATCCTGCTAGCTAGCATAGGATTCTGAGGTGTAGTGTATTACGTTTCGCAAGATTATCTATATGCACAATCCTCTTTTCCTTTCTGTAATGCTTGTTATGTCTAAATCCTTCCTAAATGTCAACATATAGGTAAAAAACGAGTGGCTAAAACCAGCTATGCAGATCAGGGACCAAATTGAATCCTATTAAAGGGCAAATTTACGAGCAGATTAGATAGAAACGACCCAAACTGCTCAATATAAAGTGTTTGGATTACAAAATCCAGATGTCTAGCACCGGACCTCCGATAGAGCAGCGTAGACATCGCGAGCATGAGCATCCCGACGGCCTCACCGCACCCCTCGCCGCCTCCCTGCAGGTTCGAGGCCCCCTGCTCCAGTATCCGCATCGCCTCATCTGGCACAACAGCAACAGCAATTCAGCTCACACGACGGAGCGACCGAGTGAGGCTAAAAAACCCTAGCGCTCAGCGGCACCACGCAGCAATGGGGGGACAACCTGGCGAGCTACCGGGCCTGGCTCCGCCGAGGGCGTAGCGGACCATCTCCGCCGCCACGCTCTCCGGCTGCGTCGCGCCGCCGGTGGAGGAGGTTGCGTAGTGGCGGGCGCGCGGCGGGCGGGGCTTCGGGGAGAGGAGCGCCCTCGCGAGGGCCGATCGGATCGGGTTCATGGCTGCGCCTGCGCCTGCGCCGCCGCCGGCCGCCGCGAGTCGCCGCTTGAGGAGGGAGGAGTTAAGCGGCGAGAGCCGAGGGGAAGAAGTGCCTAGGAGGCTAGCGGCTCGTTTGGTTGGAGGGAGTTTCTAGCAGGGATTGGGAGGTTAGAGGGAAGAGACTATTAAGTGTTTTGATTGGTTGGGAGAGAATTTTGGTGAGATGGGGATGGAGAATTGAGAAAGGAACTCCCTCCTTTTTAATACCTTGGTAGGGGCAGGTAATTGGGAGGGAATTCCTCCTTTACTTTGTCTAAGCAAATCTCAGTCATCTGTTTTTATTAATGACCTAATCTCCAACTAAACTCCCTATCAATTTCCATCAACCCAACCAAACATGATATTAGGATTAAAAATCAAATTTCTATCTTAATCTCATCATAAATTCCCTTGTGTAAACTCCCAATCCCCTTCCCTCACAAGTTACCGAACAAGCCGTAGGAGAAGTCCAGAAGAGTGGCAGGGTCCACGTGTTCAAAGCACCCGTGCCACGGCCCATGGGCCCTTTTACTGAATCCACAGGCCTTGTAGGCACGAATTTGCGGATCCCTATTCCCTAGCGCATATACTACAGTCGTTGAGTAGATACGATGAGGTACCATTTTTTGGTATCTCTTGATACCTAGATAATGTGAGGTATCAAATTTTATATTATCTTATGGTACCTCTTCAAGAACTATAAAATCTCTACTTCTAAACCCTTTTTTTAGGGGTAAATGGCAGGAGCTCTGCCAATTTCATTAAGGAGAGTAGAGAAAAAGCAACAAAGGTTTTTTACAAACCTAGATTACAAAGGATCCCAAGTATTCTTCTATCAAGGCAAACCGGGGAGATAAGGGGCTAAAATTTTAAGAAAATGAGAAGCAACTAGAAGGAGAGTACGGGCACTACTCATCTAGAACATGTGCTTCAACGTAGGCTTTGCACATAGCGATAATTGAATCAACCACTTGCATCACTGTACTATAAATGCCATTGAAGACTCTTGCGTTGCGCTGTAGCCAAATGCCCCAAGCTATGTAGATGAAGAGGTCATAAAAATTTCTTCTTTGTTCTTTGGCCATCTCTCTTCTGCAGGCTGACCACCATCGTAGCATATCTCCATCGAAGGTGGAAGCCACATGCATGTGGAGCCCGCCTTTTGCCAGGTGTGTCTCCATACCTGTTTAGCAAAGGCGCATTCCATGAGGAGGTGCGTTGTTGTCTCCGGTTCTACTCCACACAGAGGACAAATGTGGCTGTTGTCCCATCCACGAAGCTGGAGTTTGTCGGCTGTGAGGATCTTTCTATGGATCATGAGCCAACCAAAGAATTTGGATTTGTTTTCTACCTTCGCCTTCTAGAAGAAATCAGACATATTGTCTTGTATGCCTCCAACGAACTGGATCCTGTAGGCGGAGTTTGCTTAATATGGTCCATTTGGAGTCCATCTCCAAGCTATCGCATCGTCTATGCCTTCCTGCAACTCCACCTATTGGATTTGGTGCCATAGAAGGATGAATTCCCTAACCTGTGTTGTGGTATTCATTTGTCTCATCTTTTTCAACCAGTTGTTCCCTTGTATCTCCTGTGCCACTGATCTGTTCTTTCTCGTGGCTAACTGATAGAGGGAACGGTAAAGTTCTTTCAGGGGTGATCCGTTCAACCATCTGTCATGCCAGAATTTTGATTTGTTGCCATTTCCAAGGGTTATCGTGGTCGAAACTCTGAACAGCTGCTTGTCTGTTTCATCACAAAGAAGACTCGATCCCTGCCAAGGCTTGTTGACGGCGGTCCATTCCTGCCAAAGCCAGCGGAGTCTTAAAGAGCGACCAAAAAGTTCGAGGTTTGTTATACCAAGGCCTCCCATGTTTTTTGGTCTACAGACCCTCCTCCAGTTAACTAGGCAGTGTCCCCCCTGTGCCTATTCTGACCCTGTCCAGAGGAAGCCCCTACGAATTTTGTCGATCTTTTTTTCAACCCATTTTTTAAGGGGGAAAACAGTGAGGTGATAGGTCGGGAGGGCAGAGAGGGTAGACTTTATCAGAACCGTCCAGCCAGTCTTGTTTAGTAACTTTCCTTTCCATGTTGGGAGCCTAGCCGAGAACCTATCGATGAGAGGTTGAACATCTGATTTTCTGAGTTTTCTGATGTGGAGTGGAAGTCCTAGATAGGTACAAGGGAAGTGTTTCATCTGTGCCGGGAAGGGGGAGAGAATATCCTGTAAGTTGAGGGTGCCACATCTAATGGCATAGACTTCGCTTTTGGATAAATTGGTCACCATGCCTGTCGCGAGGCCGAAATTTTGAAGAATCATTTGGACCGTTTGGAATTCCTGTTTATCTGGTCTAAGGAACACTACAACGTCATCTGCATATAAGGCCATATTGAAACGAGCAGTCGGCCTGTGGAGCGGTTGGAGGAGACCTGCTTCCTGTGCTGCGGCAAGGAGTTTTTGCAGAGGATCAATCGCTAGAATGAAGAGCATGGGTGATAGAGGGTCTCCCTGACGTAATCCTCGTCCATGCAAGAAGATGTTTCCTGCCTTCCCATTTAGGAGGATCTTTGATGAGGATGTTGCTAGAATGGAAATAATCCATCCAATCCATCTGTCTCCGAATCCCAATATCTGAGTCTGTCTAGGAGATAAGGCCAGCTGATCGAGTCGAAAGCTTTTGCAATGTCGAGTTTTAGCAGAATCGCGAGGATTTTGGACGATTGGAACTCACGCACCATGTTGTTTACGAATAGAAAGTTGTCTTGGATGTTTCTGCCTTTTATGAAGGCACTTTGATTTGTTGAGACCATCTGTTGCAATTTTGGGGCCAATCTGTTTGCTAGTAACTTGGAGAAGAGCTTTCCGAAGGCATGTATGAGGCTGATTGGCCTGTAATCACCTACCCTTAGAGCATCAGTCTTTTTTGGTAGAAGGGCAATGTAGGCTGAGTTTAATAGCCATAGACTATGAGTGTCGTGATTAGCAACCTGATTTACTGCCATGACGATATCTTCCTTAATTATGTCCCAACACTTTTATGGTGAGGACTTTTATCTAAAAACCTTTATAGAAAATTTCAGTATGGAAAAGTGTGCGTTAGAAATATACATGTGTCATATGTTAATATATGTTAATATCACAAGTCTAGTTTAAATAAAGATACACACAGATATATTGAGGCCGTTCAGTTCAACTGGGTTGTGGGTGTACAACCGCAGCGCTGCAACTCTCCTACATAATTTTTTGCTTGCTGGTCCGAACACACCATTTATAGAAGTCCATACAAATTTGTTCTTGAAAGATAAACTGATGATAAACAAATATATTCCGTTCCTTGAAGTATCAATTGCTTCCAAACAGCCCGTGTAGTATCAAGTGGGGATTAATTATCTTATCCTTAAAATAAACAGGTATTTTTAAACGCAGCAAGTGTTGTCTGAAGTCGATTCCTTCAGATGGTGCTGTTCATAAAACGGCTGAAATGAACAGATGACAAGAAAATCGAACAGTAAATAGTTTCTTGACTCCAGCAAGTGCACCCATCGCGGGGACTCCGTCTTTAATTCCATGCATTGTGCCGTCTCCAATAATGAACTTACCATGACCATCCTTGGTGGTGATGATTTACAGTACAACCAATCTCTTAATTCTCGATAATGACTTCCAAGAAAATTAACTAAGCCTGATTTTTCTACAGAGCATTTTTAGGAAGTCAAACTCAGACAACACAAGTTGCACGTAGTTGCAGTCTAGCTTCAGAATAGTGATATATCGCATACAGTACTGTTAACGTCAAAATTTAGCAAGCCCCAGAGTTATCATCAGCTTACAGTCACTATCGGCTTTAGCGTCTTGGAATCATCCAATGGAAATTATCAAGTCTTCAATAGTTGGATTCTTGGTAAATTTGGTTAAGGAAATTAATCAATTAAAGTAAGTTTATCAAGGATGCGGCACGACAGTTTATATATTAATTAGGAAGAGTCTATTAGTTTCGTTTCATCTTTAGGGAAGTGTGTTTAGCATTCGATAAGGCCTATGTTTTTCTTTTTATCTTTAGGAAAGTTTATATCATGTCCAATAAAGACTAGTATTTACCCATGGGTATAAATATATACACCCGGGGTTATTGTAAAATATCCTCGATAAATACAACTTCGGCATATCGCCACCTTTTACATTTCTACTTTTTCGACGAGTTCTTGCTTCGAGTTAGGCATCAGCTTCGATCTTCTGACAAGAGGTATGACTTGTTTTAGCGGTTTGCATTGGTGGATTAGGGCATCGTTTTAGATGTTCTAATCTATCTTCTACAGCCTCTGGTTATCATATATCTTAGTTAATCTAGCTTAGCATATTAATTTGATAACATCGGATAGAATTCGTTTTAGGGTTTATGCTGGTATCGGCTAAATTACTTGTTAGATTAGATTAACTAAGATATCCACAACCCTGAAAATCAGTCAAATGTTTGATTGTCAGTGATGCATCAGTTAAGTTTGATCTACTAAGTCGTGCTTAGAACCATAATTTCTAGCTTGCTTTTTAATTGCCAATAAAGATTTCATCAGGGTTTTAGTTGATAAGTTATCCATGTAAAGCGGGTAGGAGTCCTCTCGAGGACATAACCACATCCAAGATCGTCAAATCGATACAATACCTGGCATATTATAATTCCCAAATAGAAATAGAGTATTACCTCTCGTCGAAAGGGCTTAAATCTGTCTAAACCTCTTGTCACAACCCATCTATTTTAGCTCTCGTGTGGTATCGCTTTTCATATTTCATATTCTTAGTATCGACAATGAACATTATGCTTATGCATGAGTTAGTATCCAACTTCTCTTGTGTTTTTACTCATCTCCTCCGGTTAATAATCCAAATTGTACCAACCAGCTTCTAACTGAATTACTATAGAAACTTGTAGAATCCCTGCCGTACAAATATTGCAAATACTGTTCAGCAGTAGAAGGGGGGAGATTGACGTGAGATTAAGGGAGATGAACCCTAATAATTATGGTGTGTCATCAAGATTTAGATGCTATAAATGCCATATGTCGAAACCGGAATATTTAAGCTCATGTGCACGCATGCAAATTAAGTTGTCAAGACTCAAAAGAGATGGTTGACATAAACTTATCAAACAGAACCTTTGAAAGATTAGCTTGATAATGCGATTAAGTGAGAGTGAGCGTCTTCTTAGTTTTCTTTTCGTTAAGGATTTTATGGAACACTATACACTGGACAGTTATAGCAGCCATACGTACAGATATCAGTTACCATCAGACACCAAACATGTCGCACTCGACCACTCCAGCAACAATGACATATAATCAAGAGCTTAAGCCTGTGTGTAAGTCAACAGTGCTGGTAATTAATATCTCCAAACCCAGAAAATCATAAGCGAAAAAAGTCCTGAATTGAAATTATCTGGCTACCGATCGATATGGAGTATTACCTTTTAATCTTTTAATAGATGACGTCATTCGTTTAACTATTCGTTTTATTAAAAAGATATATAACTATAATTTATTTTATTTAATATTTAAAATATAATTTATATCTTATATATTTATATAAAATTTTTAAATAATACGCGTGATCGGCAAAGTCGACGACGTCATGGGTTAAAAATCTCAGAGGCACGAATTGTCTCATCGATCTGACCCAGCTGACCAGAATTATTACCACCGGGAAAATGATGTGGAGAGGCAGCAGCTTGGCGCTTCCGCTTTCAGATGGCACGTCACGCGCCACGTGGGTAGCTGCGTCATCCTTCCCGAGATCGTCGGAAGCTGTGTGGCAAATCAAACCGCGACGCTGATCTGATCCAGCAGGTTGTTTTCAGAGCAATCAAATTCTAGCAATGCAGGAGTGACTAAACGATGAGGTGGAGAGAAGAAAGATGGGAGGGAGATAGTCATCTCTCATGTAAGGGGCTACCCCTACATAAACTACAATAAATATGTAAGAGTGCTAGAGATATTAGAGATTGTGTGGTAGAGATAACCTCAGGTCATTCCCAACCCAATGACTACAATGATGTCACTGCACTTAAAATAAAAAATGATGTGGCAAGTGAATAAATGAAGAAAGAGAAGGAAACCAGATCTTGCATGAGACATGATTTCTACACAACATACAATGCATCATGTGAGATAAGTAGCATTAAATTTAAGTATGAAAGAGTGGTGTTTGCATTGAAAGAGTAGTGTATAGTACTATTTTTTTATGACGTGAAGTTTATAGAAACTATGTGTAGTGTCTTGAGTTGAGATTGATCTAATACATGTTACCTCTTAATTAATAGTGTATATCATGTAGAAATTGGATGGGGTAGTCATCTCTACTATAAAGCTTGCCCTAATTGCTTGAAACTTGTCTGTTAAGTAAAGACTGGTTAAGAGAGAGAGAGAGAGAGAGAGAGAGAGAGAGTAAATTCGAGAGCGATCGATCGAAGATGTTTGAAAAAGAAACGGAGAATTCGTGTTCCAGATTAGATCGGCTAACTGCATTTAATTAATTTCCGTGGAGACTCGCAGACTTGGCCGGGGTTTTGGGGGGTGCTGCAAATGCTTGCTAATATCACTATTTGAATTATTTGAAACCGTTAGTTGCTTAGGGCACCCATAATGGTTATCTATAGGCTCTCTATAAAAGATCCATGTCAGCATATTTTTCTTAGAAGAGATTAAATGAAGAGATAGACTAAAGCTATCTACTAACCCGAAGATAGTCTATAGAAAAAAACGAGGCAATGGATTAGAGAGCTATAGATACCCATGTAGACATACAATTGAGCTGAGATGTACATGTTTTATAGAGAGCACCTTACTTTACCATTGCGGGTGCTCTTATGAGATACTCGGAGAAACGCGCAGTGCTACTCCTCCGTAAGGTAGTAAGACGATTTGGGTTCAAAGCCTCACATCTTCTAATTATTTATATTAGGTTATTTTTTAATATTCGTGTTTTTTTAAAGATGCTATCTTCGTTCCATAAAAATCAATGTAATACTCTGAACAGAAATCTCTGTTCAGATTCATTGTATTAGGATGTGTTATATCCAGTCTATACGTTTTTTATGAGAATGAGCAAAGTATGCGGCTTGTTGTCTCGATGACCGATCTATTTCCCCCCTCTCTATGTTGGATACTGTTCTTTAGTACGCTGAGTCATGTTAACTGTTTGTTGATCGGACCCTCCATCAGATACTATGCATGGACGAACACAAACGACCCTTTACTCGTGATTGTTCCTGTCGTGTCGGCTAATTGCATTTGCAGCTTCCCAGATGCTGCATCAATAATCAATCTACATAAAGGCTAGAGAGAGATACGTTGATCAGGCCATATGTGACTTGGTCAACTGTCCTAAAGTCAGAATGCTAGTCCAAAGCCAAGAGAAGAAAAATCAGATTGTAATAAGAGTATAAGACCATCAGCACAGGAGGGGACCTGACACAGATTGTTGCGATGCTACATCTTTACTTCTTGTATAAATATCCTCTCAAGTCTCACCATCTACTTAGCTAATATAGCCTCCCTCCGTCCCTAAATATTTGACGCCGTTGACTTTTCTAAACATGTTTGACCGTTCGTCTTATTTAAAAAATTTAAGTAATTATTAATTCTTTTTCTATCGTTTGATTCATTGTTAAATATACTTTTATATATACATATAGTTTTACATATTTCAAAAAAAAATTCAATAAGACGAACAGTCAAATATGTTTAAAAAAGTCAACGACGTCAAATATTTAGGGGCGGAGGGAGTACTATCCTCTATTATGACCGTGATGATATTGTAAATCATTTTTTTTCGAAATCGGAAACCCCAGATACAGAAATGGAATCGGATATTATTAAAACCGAAAACATAGCGAAAGTGAACTGCTGCGGATACGGTAACGAAAATTTATTGGAATAAAAAAAACCCTCAAACTGAACTTCAAACTTTATCAAGTCCAATTCTCAAATCCCAAAAGTCAACAATTCATCATAAAACACAATCATATCAGTCTCAACAGTATATGACAAAACATAATCTATGAAATAAATGATCTATGTTTAAGATAGGAATCATATTGATAAATCCTAATACAGAAATTTAGGTCAGGCTATTATTGTGTTGTATGGGCTATGCTATGGGTCTGGAAATTCCGAGAAAATTTCCAGAAGTTTCCAATCGATTTCGAGTTCCGACGAAACCGCTCTTATCATTCGATTCTGTTTCGGAGAAAATATTTTCAAATTCAATTCCGTTTCTGAAAAAATCCGACCGATATATTCCGTTTTCGAAAATAGCTTTATGATCTGAAAAGTTTTCATACCGTTTTTACCCCTAACGACTAATGTCAGATGTGACAAATTTAGTTACAAACAAAATAGACCCTAATTAAGTCTCTTTGATAATGTATCCAAAAGTGCTTATACTTAGACAAAGGTGAGTTTTTTTTAAAGGAGGGCAAAAGCTTTGCCTCGTATATTAATAGAGATAGAGAAAAAACAAAACAAAATCAGATAGGGAAATATTTACAGGGCAAGCCAAAAGATAGACAAAGGTGAGTTAACTTTCGATATCCACAAAGTCATAACTTCTTAGGCTCTATTTCTTTCAGCTTGGGATTATTATAATCCAGATTATTGGGAGTAAGCTGAAAGAAACAGATAACTTATTGAAGTAGCTTATTATAATTTGGAGCCCAACTTATTATAATTTGATAAGCTCATTTAGGTGAGTTTTTTCTAGATTATTGGGTGAAAAATTACCCACCATGCCACCCCCACTCTCTATTTAGACTTGCAAACTCAATAATCTAGGCTCTAATAATCTAGGAAAGAAACAGCTAACCGTTTATTCTACTACAAATTATAACAATCTAGCTTATAGTAATATGACTCAATAATTTAGATTATAATAATTCCAAACTAAAAGAAACAGGGCCTGAATCGTCTACCGTTGAAAAAACCAGCGTAAAGAACTTCATAACATCAAGTACAACTAGCTAGGACGACGGAACCGGAGCAAATTAAGCTGCTGCGTTACACTATTGACCGGCTATATTAGTCTATCACGACCGTCCACATCGCCACTCAACAACACCATCGCTGCCGCGCGCGGCACAAAGGTGGCCGTCGCCGACTCGCCGGTGTGTGCGGTGTTGGTGAGCGTTCGGTGAGAACGTTCTCGGCTTCCCTCCCCCCTCACGCACGCGCAATCCACAGCTAGCTAGCGCGGGCGGCGCGCGCGTCCACCACGAAACCCCCCCGCACGTAGCCATCGGTGTATTACTACTACAACCGGTTCACATCACACCTCGCCCGGTTATTTCCAACGCGAGGCATAAATACGGGAGAGGGAAGGGGAAACCCGACGCGACACGTCTCCTCGATTCCGCTGGTTTTTTAAGTTTGGTGAAACTCGATCGCTTAGGTTAAACCTCGGTAGCTGTTGGGTGCGAGGTTGGCCATCGATCATCTCTCGCTGGATCACGCCACTTTTTCGCATGCAAAGCGTAGGATTTCTCTCTTTGTTTTTAGGATTTCTTGGTGGTTGCGAGCCGCTTACCTGAACCCAGAACCCCCCAGTTGCCGGTCAAGCCAAACCCTGCCCACTGCGATCGCCTCCCATATAACACATACTCTCTTCCTCTTTCTCTTCGCTTCATCAAGTAGTAGTCGTGTTCATTAATCTGCATCTCTCGCTTCACGTACTTTGAAGTGGTGGTGAACTGTGTTTTGTGTCATCGATGGTGACCATGTCGGCGTCGGCGGAGGCGAAGAGTCGACGGGAGAGGCGGTCGGTGGTGGCGGAGCTGGAGGGGGCGCTGCTGCGCGACGCGGCGACGTTCCCGTACTTCATGCTGGTGGCGTTCGAGGCGTCCGGGCTGCCGCGGTTCGCGGCGCTGCTGGCGCTGTGGCCGCTGCTGTGGGCGCTGGAGCGGGCGCTGGGGCGGGGCGACCTGGCGCTGCGCGCCGCGGCGTTCGTGGCGACAGCGGGCGTGCCGCGCGCGGAGGTGGAGGCCGTGGCGCGCGCCGTGCTGCCCAAGTTCATGGCCGACGACGTCGACCCGGCGGCGTGGGCGGCGTTCGGGTCCTGCGGCGGGCGGCGCGTCGTGGTGACACGCATGCCCCGGGTCATGGTGGAGCGGTTCGCCAGGGAGCACCTCGGCGCGCACGAGGTGGTCGGCTGCGACCTCGAGTACAGCCGCCTCAGGCGGTCCACCGGCTTCGTCAGGGGCGGCGGCGGCGGCGAGCGCGCGGTCGCCGAACGCGTGCGCGCGCTCTTCGCCGATGGCGACCGGCCGGACGTCGGGATCGCGCGGTCCGAGTCGGCGACGCGATCCTTCTTGCCCTTCTGCAAGGTACTACCACGTACACACCGTGCACGAACACTCCCGGAACTCGTCCAAACCACTAATTAATCTGCATCATATAGCAAAAAACTACTGAATTTGATTATAGTCAGCAATTTTTTTTCATAAATTTGACAGTGATTTAAAAGTGTCAATGGAGGGAGTAGTAGTATACTAGAACACGCACTTGATCGATGGAGCAATTAATGTGCGCCATTTTCCTAGGAAGAAAAAATAATGTGTATATTTTCCTAGGAGTAGAGCTTTAGAGGTGCTTGCCCATAAGCATGCGCGTCGGTACATGTTCCCGTCTAATATGTGCATGGAATTTGGGCATATGCATGCATGGACGAGGATGAACCATACCACAACTAAATGCCTAGCTAGATTAATTCTGAAAGTCGTTTACGCATGTGACCGCCACAGCCACAAGAGTCAAACTTAACCCATCAATCCATGATGCATCTCCAAATCTGTGTTCGATATACTCCACAACATGCAACTCGGTGCACATGAAAGGATGTCATGATAGTCGGCAAAAGTTCTTTAAAAAATAACCCAAGTTGTCGGGACAAATTTAGACGAATAAATTAGTAGTTTAGTACTCGTGTCACAAAATTTAAATTTGACTGTAGAAATTACTATGTACGTATACTCGTACATAGTGAGTGATCACGTGAACCTTACATGTAGAAGTGTGTGTCTCTGTGTGTGCGCGCTAAGCCATAGCTTTCATCTGAATAACTCTGTTTGAAAATTGAAATGCGCATCGCTATTGTGGTTTTAATTTGTGGCCAAATACGCATCACTTTTCTCCAATAATTATGTTAAATCGTGGCTCGTTCAGGTGTTAATTATCATGCTATAGTTTTGTTGGGACCAACATGGCGAGAAACCGCGAATTAAACCTGTAATTTGATTACGTGCATGCAGAAGCAACTCCGGCCGCCGTTCTGTGAGGACGACGGCGACGACGTCGCCGCCGCCGGCGAGCAGCACAAATGCCCTCCGTTCCGGCCAGTCATCTTCCACGACGGCCGCCTCGTGTGCCGGCCCACGCCGCTCATGTCGCTCGTCATCCTCCTGTGGCTTCCGCTTGGCGCGCTCGTCGCCTTCGTCCGCATCGCCGTCGGCATCTCCGTGCCCATCCAGATCATCCCCCGCATCGCGCCCTACTTCGGCGGCGCCGTCGTCGTGCACGGCGCCCCGCCGCCCGCCGCCGCCAGCGGGCCGGCGTCCGGCGTCCTCTTCGTGTGCACGCACCGGACGCTGATGGACCCGGTGGTGCTCGCCACCGTGCTCGGCCGCCGCGTGGCCGCCGTGACGTACTCCATCTCCCGCCTCTCGGAGGTCCTCTCGCCGATCCCGACGGTGCGGCTGACGCGCGACCGCGGCGTGGACGCGGCGCAGATGCGCGCCGAGCTGTCGCGCGGCGACGTCGCGGTGTGCCCCGAGGGGACGACGTGCCGGGAGCCCTTCCTGCTCCGCTTCTCCGCGCTGTTCGCCGAGCTCAGCGACCGGATCGTGCCGGTGGCGATGAACTACCGCGTCGGGCTCTTCCACCCGACGACGGCGAGGGGGTGGAAGGCCATGGACCCCATCTTCTTCTTCATGAACCCGAGGCCGGTGTACGAGGTGACCTTCCTCAACCAGCTCCCCGCCGAGGAGACGTGCGCCGCCGGCAAGAGCGCCGTCGACGTCGCCAACTACGTGCAGAGGATACTCGCCGCCAAGCTCGGGTTCGAGTGCACCACCTTCACGCGCAAGGACAAGTACCGCGTGCTCGCCGGCAACGACGGCATCGTCAACGTCAAGCCGCCGGCGGCGGCGGATCCGGCGCCGTGGCAGCGCCGCCTCAAGGAGGTTCTCGGCTTCTTGCTCCACTAATCGATCACAAATTCACAATACTTTCGTGGCCAAAGTGCTCTGCTCACAAGATTAATTTGACGAATTTTAATTGCGATACCCCCCAAAAAAATTGCGAGTTTTAATTTACATGCGTGTGCATGTATGTACGCAAAGAAATGTAAATGAAGACAGCAGCCACCATTAGATATCAAACCTACACCTACGGTTGCTTTTCCTTGCTTTTTCTTACGAAATTTGTTCATGATTCATTTGATTTTATTTTTGTTGTAATCAAACTATACTGCTGTATATATATATTTACACATCCATTATCACAAGTTGCATGCTCAATCTATTTTACTCATACGTAGATTTTGTGTTGGTCTAGTTGTTGATCAGTCCTCCCTAGCTAGTGCCTATTAATTCCATTTTTTTTATCTTATACAACAGAGTTCATTGATTAACAGGTACTTGCTCCGTTTCGAAATATTTTATACCGTTGACTTTTTAGCAAATGTTTGACCGTTCGTCTTATTTAAAAACTTTTGTAAGATATGTAAAATTATATGCCTACATAAAAATATATTTAACAATGAATCAAATGATAGGAAAAGAATTAATAATTACTTAAATTTTTTGAATAAGACGAACGGTCAAACATGTGATAAAAAGTCAGCGGCGTCAAACATTTCGAAACGGAGGCAGTAGTTATTAGGTGAGCAAATTCTTCCTACGAAAAATAGCGACTGATTCTTTGGAAAACCAGCTTGTTTTGCACGCAGAGTCTTTTCCAATTTGTTCCTTTGACATGACAAATGAAAGTTCGCGATTTACCGCTTTGATAATTAAGACCTTACTCAACGCCTCAATTTATTGGCTGTGTTTGCAGAGGCCGAAAAATTTATTCCATTAGTAAAAATAAAGTCAGCACCTCAATTATGGCTGTAAACCTCTATGATGTGGATTGTCAACCCTAACCCTTGATCTAAAACCCTTTTAATTTCGTTGTGTTAAAAATAGTCGAATGAATTATATCATTATACTCAAATAGTTAACTGATCTATGGGTTGGCCGTTCTGATCCACCTAAACAGAACTGAATTTTAATTTCTGAGGTTATCAAAACACGCGACATGCATGAGATGACTCCTTTTTAAGGTCAACTAATTTGGGATAATATGTTCAGCTGGTCATGTACGAAACTTAATTATCAGCAGGACGGTAAGCTGCAATTAAGATCGTATTTGCCTTTTGAAAAAGGATCGCCCTCCCTCGTTCATATGCGTTTAGCGTCGGCAACACGTACTTATCATAAAAACCGTACGTTAATAGACGTGAGACTGATTAAGAATTTGCGGTGGTTTATGGACTTAGCAAAGGCCACGTACGTTCCCGGCCCTAATATGAAAGCCACGCATATATGCCTGAATTTTCGGAAGCACATCATTTTACTGTGTTTGAGTAAGCACCCATGTGAATAGAACAGAATAACATTTGTGATAGTATTAAATACTAAGGAGGCAAAAAGGACATGAATCAAGTTTTGGTTTTATTGCTGCGAGTGACCTGCTGGGTGCACGGTGCCACAGGCGTATACATTGTCAAATAGTATTTCTTTTCTTTTACGAGGAAAATCACAAGTATTCCTTTTTAAGTGGGTTCTCGATAATAATTTAATAAGATTAGAGATGTATCGCTAATTTCTATATCTTTGAGCATGTGTTAAGCAAGACATTCGCAGATATGTGTTACTGATGTGTGTGCATGTACGTCTACCATGTAATAAAAATAAAATAAAATTCCAAATAATAATGAAAAATCACAACAATTTGTTTCCTTTGTGAGGAAAATCACCAAATATCCATTTTCTTTTGTGAGGAAAATCACATTAACTCATTTTCTATTGCGAGGAATACCAAATTGATTTATTTTGTTTAGCGAGAAAAATCACCAACTATTACCTTAATTTCTTTTCCCATTCTTGACATTTATTCCTTTTCATTGTGTTAGGATGTATCACATCCAACCAAAATTCCTTATATTTAGGGACGAATGGAGTATCTAGAAAATAAATAAATAAAATCACCAAATATTAATTGTAAAATTAAAAAGACCAAATAGTAACTAGAAGATAAATAAATAAAATCACCACATATTCATTGGAAAATTAAAATATAAATAAATAAAATCACCAAATATTAGCTGGAAAATTCAAAAAGTAAATGTCAAGAATGGGAAAAGTAAATAAAATCACCAAATATAAATTTAAAAGTAAATGTCTAGAAGATAAATAAATAAAATCACCAAATATTAATTGGAAAATTAAAAAAGTAAATGTCAAGAATGGGAAAATAGTAACTAGAAGATAAATAAATAAAATTACCAAATATTCATTGGAAAATTAAAAGATAAATAAATAAAATCACCAAATATTAGCTGGAAAATTCAAAAAGTAAATGTCAAGAATGGGAAAAGTAAATAAAATCACCAAATATTAATTGGGAAATTTAAAAGTAAATGTCTAGAAGATAAATAAATAAAATCACAAAATATTAATGGGAAAATTAAAAAAATAAATGTCAAGAATGGGAAAAGTAAATAAAATCACCAAATATTAATTGGTAAATGTCTAGAAGATAAATAAATAAAATCACCAAATATTAATTGGAAAATTAAAAAAATAAATGTCAAGAATGGGAAAAGTAAATAAAATCACCAAATATTAATTGGGAAATTTAAAAAGTAAATGTCTAGAAGATAAATAAATAAAATCACCAAATATTATCTGGAAAATTAAAAAAAATTAAATGTCAAGAATGGGATTCGAACCCATGCCCTTTCGGACCAGTACCTGAAACTGGCGCCTTAGACCAACTCGGCCATCTTGACCCACATCAGGAATCGAACACTTAACATTTAAATACAATTAACTTAATCATGGGAACATGACACGGGCAATTTCTGCGTAGGCACCGTGCTAACCCCGAATCAAATTTGGGACGCAAATCTCTGCGGACACGTCTGATAAAAATGTGTGAAGCAAACGGGAGACCCCTTGAAAGCCATTTTACTTCCAAGCAAGTTCAACCGTTGTTTCCATTAGTTCCTTAATTATCGTGAAACAAGATTACATCATAGTAGACCACCTACTTGCACCAACGCCATCACCACTCACCGGGTTCAACAGCCATGCGTGATTGAGTATTATCAACAATTAATCACTCGATCGTTGTCCACGCTTGAGCCAGTCACCGCGTTTGTTTAATCAAACCTTGCCGGTTTGCACGAAACCATAGTCGACGTAGCTATAACCAACCTCCTCCACGGACATTCCAAGCCAAAGATTGTTTACACACTAACACCCCTACTATCAATATCTTATAATCATATCATTATCTTAAAAAATATCTCTTAATCGTATACAACACGGCAATGGTTAAAGATTCACCAAAGATATTCTCTCCGTCCTAAAATAAATACAGTTCTATACTATTCATATCTAACATTGGATTTGGACCGTTCGTCTTATTTAAATTATTTTATAATTATTATTTTTGTTGTTATTAGATAATAAAACATGAACAATACTTTATGTGTAACTTATTATTTTTATTTTTTTTATAAATTTTTGAAATAAGACGGATAGTTAAACGTTAGACACAAATACCCATCTATATACTTATTTTGGGATGGAGGTAGTACATTGAGACACACCATTAACGAAGCTACTAATTACACCAACCATATCCGTTATAGAGTGATGAAAGATACCAGTACAGTTCGAGTTCTAAACTTTTAATAAGGTGATTGTATTTATAGCTAATTATTCTTTCATTCGTAGATGATATACCCGTCAACAGCAAGACATCCGTGGTGATTTAATCAACTTCAAGATATACCAAACCAGTCTTACTGAGATGTTCAAAAGAAATAGAATGTGTGTATGCACGTTTATAGGTGTGAGTGTATGTTGTAAGCGCATCTATACTTTTTTTTTTTAACAAACGAACTTGTAGTACCTTCAAACAAACAAACTTGTTAGGACCTCTTTGTTTAGGCTTAGATTTATTGGTTTATATATAGTTATAAGTTAATTTATTGGCTTATATGATTCCCTATATGATCTATAAGCCGATGAATTTAATGTCTAAATTTAATAGTAGAGTCATACCTTCACCTCATATAAGTCAAAAATATTATCCAATCTAATCTTTGGTTTAATAGAGCTAGAATGACTTATGGCATAAAAAACAGAACGAAAAAACTGTTTGATTGTTTAAGCTTAGTTTTTTTACCTTATAATAAACTGATTTATAAGTCTACACATGCATTTTTGGCTTTTTTTTTCTTTGACACCGTTCTCTCCCTCGCGACGCTGTTTCTCCCCGCGAAATAAAGTGACGTCACCGAACGCAGGCCCGCCGCCTCCGCCTCCGCTTCCGCTCGCCCGGACCCGCCTGCGCCGGCCGCACAAGGGATGCGCTCCCTCACCTCCCGCCACCGGCCGGAACCCTAAGGAGGCGCGTGCCCACCTGCGGCTGCCTCCGGCTTCGGCGATGGGGCGGCCGGGTTACCTGACGCTGCCAATCCTCTCGGTGCTCGCGGCCATCGGGTACGTCTACTACACCACGGTGTTCGTCGCCGTGGCCCGGTGGCTGGGGCTCGCCACGGCGGCCGGGGCCGCGAACGCCGCGGCGATCACCGCCCTCGCCGCCGCCTGCGTCGCCACCTACGCCGTCGCCGTGTGCCGGGACCCGGGCCGCGTCCCGCCCTCCTTCGCGCCCGACGTCGAGGACGCCGAGAGCCCCCTCCACGAGATCAAGCGCAAGGTGCGTTCGCGCTGTCCCATCGGTAGGCTTGCCTATTATAGGATTTGGATTTCTGGAGTAGAAGGTTTGCTCGGTTATGGCCATTGTTTGACTCAGGAGTTACATTGGGACATCTCTGCTTTATATATCTTCGCATTTCTATTGAGAAATGCGGCAAATAGCCAAATATGCAATCTAGTTCGTGAAATTTGAAGCATTTGGAGGAGGGACTGTCTCGCACTGTCGCTGACACGCCGACAGGCAATTTAAGATCTGAGTAATCAAGTGCATCCACAGTATGAGTGGATCTAACCTGAATATTAAGGTTTTGTCGATTGATGGTGCCTTGGCCACACCAACATGGATTTTCTGTGCGTTTGAGATGAACAGTTTCAAAATACGTTCATTACAAAAACTAGTAGTAAGCTAAAACTATTTGGAAAGAGCGGAATTCACCGGTTTTTGACGGAATCAGCTAGAGCACCTCTGAAGTTTCCTGGGCAATTGTTGAAGAATGGTGGGCTTGGCGTGCAGCTAACCTAGGAGGCGTGGTGATAGAAGAATTACCGAGTGATCACTAATAACCTCTGTGTTGGGGCAATGTGTTTAATGCTCAACGAGTGTAGGACGGTGTGGAGTCCGTAGTTTTCCCAACCCCTAGGGGCTGGGGTTGTAAAACAACAACCATGTTTGTTGTCCAAATATTTTAAACTTCTCCAATCTTAATAAAATTAGTCGGGGCACTTCGCCGCTGGCCTGGCAAAAAATAAGCTAGAACTAAACCAACGACTCTGACTTCAGAATCTGATTGAGAGAATTGCTCCTTTCTGATAGTGGATAGTGCCTATTAGACCATTACAGTTCTTTAGGGTAATTGACCTTTGCGGTCTTGTAATTTTTAAGTGTATGTGCTATGGAATGGGGACAAAAAGATAGTAAGCTGAAAGAGGGTGAACAACTGATCACTCATGCTGTACGCATCGACCTTTGTTATATTCTTGATGTTGCTGACAAAACATTTTGTATCTATACTTTTTTTTTTCAGGGTGGGGACTTGAGATATTGCCAGAAATGTGGCCACTATAAACCCCCTCGTGCACACCATTGCCATGCTTGCAAAAGATGTGTTCTAAAAATGGTGCTGATCAGTACTAATCTGTCTTGTATCTTCTGTTAATTACCCACTTACACTTTTTCAGCAACTTCTTATGTGCAGGACCATCACTGTATATGGATTAATAACTGTGTTGGACATGAGAACTACAAAATATTTTTTATCTTTGTATTGTATGCTGTAACTGCATGCTTCTATGCTATGGTATACTTAAGTTTCTTTGATTTACCTTTGCAACCATGATTGTCTGGGTATAGAGCACTGAGAAAGTTTCATGTTTATTTCAGATTCTTATCATAGGGAGCGCCATGTACAGTGTTCCTGTAGATGAACATTCAAGCAATGATTCTTCTAGGACATCGATTGTAAGTGTGCTGGGAGTGTAATTTTGAGTTAGTCCGTACTATGATATTCCCTATTTTTCTGAACCATCACTAGGATTGTTGTAAACTTTGAAGGATTTTTCAAATTGACAGATCATTTGTGGGATCATTCTATGCCCGCTGACTTTGGCTTTGACAGTGCTCTTTGGTTGGCATATCTACCTCATATTACAGAATAAAACTACAATTGAGGTTGGTATTTACTCCCTCAATTCACAAATTAGGTTGCTTTTTTCACTTTTCCGTCTGTGCAATATTTGAATAAAATATTTATCAATATATGCTAAAATTAATAATAAATATTGCATATCATGGAAGTATTTTGCAAGGCAAATTCAACGATTATTTTTGTGAAGTTAACCTATATGATTTTTATACATATATTAGTTGTCAAAGTTTGAGAAGTTAATTGTGCAAAATCAATCTCAACCTCTATTTAAAGATGGAGGATTGCTTTTAACAGTGGCTGTCGTTAATATAATTTGCAGTATCATGAAGGTGTGAGAGCAATGTGGTTAGCAGAAAAGGGTGGAAATCTTTATCATCATCCGTATCATCTTGGTGTCTACGAGAATCTTATTTCAGTAAGAACTATTTTGTTCGTTGCTATTTGTATCTTCTTTCAGAGCATAAACATTCTACATATCCTAATAGAAGGCAATAAGGGAACAACCGAATACTTGACTTTTGAGAAACAATGTCGAAGATTGTCCCCTTTTCCTCTGTATAAGACATCAAAGCTTTTGCCACTACCCATTCATCCAGTAGAAACAGAAAGGAAACAGAACATGAGAATGTCAATCCATTAAATTTCAGCGTAGTCATCTTATGCAGCCTTCTGGTACTTGCTTTAACATTGCATTTGTCTCAGTAATTCAAAATTGGTTGCATATTTCGGTGCATTAATATTCATGCTTCCTGACCAAGGGGAGGTATTGCTTGTTATTGATGTCCCAACTATTGTCATTATTTTATACAGGTGCTGGGACCTAACATATTCTGCTGGCTTTGTCCAGTATCGACTAATACGGGAAATGGCCTCCGTTTCCGTACATCACATGATATTCCATTATCTACACCATCGATGTGATTAACACGAGATACTGTTATTTATTTATTCATTAGGTAGTTGCTAATCTGAACATAGACCTCTGGCTTCCTATTAGATTGCCCATATGTGCCTCTTTTTTTTTTTACTGAAGCATTGTGTTTTGGAGCAGTACAGATAATCTGTCAAGGTCTTGAAGCTCCTTTATGAAATGTGCTATAAGTGTAACGTACAGGACCTCCCCACGGCTCCAAGTTAGGACATGGGCTAGGCTGCTCCTTTGTTTTCGTGGTGGTTATTTTACATACTTGATGAGGCAGAACATGCTGCCTCGCCTGTAATTTAGTGTAGTCTCTGATTGCGTTTATTAGGAGATTTGAATGTAGTCAATTCTGTTGTAGATCTCCCCGGCAGGAAAAAATGGGGGGCTGCTGTAAATCCAACATCCATACTTTGTTCTCTTAAAGAGCCACTTATGGCAGCGAAAGGCCACGATAGGAATCATCTGAGATTGTTCGCATACATGTTTATTAAGAACAGAACTTATATTTATTTGTCATACATCGACGCAGTTTCTTTGTGTATACACTGCTGACATATGCTTGTTAATATTAACACGATGATACGATGTTTGGGTAATGTTTGGATGATTCTACTTCTTCAAAGCTCTGGTTCAAATTCTTCTGCATTGTATGTTAGATCGCATAAGCAGTCACCGTATAAGGTGCACAATAATGCATATTGTGGTTCATCACTCTTGCATGGCTATAGTCTTCCTGTGTGAAAATGGCGCATGTCAAACTGCAACACCTTTTTCGAGGTTGATGCGTAGCCTAGCCAGTAAATTCTGTTACTATGCAGCATTGTTTAAAGGGCAACTCCTCAATATCCGATAAAATCGTGTAAGTTGAGCATTAACTTACAGAGACGCGGTATATCATCAGATATGAAGATGCAATCATTAACCAATAACCGGTCAATGATTGCATGTGATGATTTGTGAAAACGTTAACTACAATTTTGTTCTATCAGTACAGCCATGGTGTCAAACAGGAGCAACAACGCAGCATCTGATGAACAGTAGCCAACAAGCAATCTTGCAGATGATGATTTGTTGCGGATTATTTCTAGGTTACAGTAGTCAGAAGCAAATACTAGTCATCTATTTTCCCTTTCCTTTTCCCTTCCCCTTCTTCGCGTCAAGTTTGGCTTGGACACGAGCTGCTGCAGCAGCCTTCGCTTCTTCCCTCTTCTTTTTCTCTTCCTCCTTGGTGGCAGCAGCTAGCTCTCGCTGCTTCTTTAGTTCCCTAAGGAAATTCATGTATTCCGCAGATATTAGTCTTCATAGCTCAAGAAGGTAGAAAATAAGCAATTATCTCGAGATAATTTCACAGGCAATCAGCATAACAGTTGATTCCATAAAGTGATTACTGCATTCCTCCTAACTCCTACCTCTCCAGCATTATAGTTTTGACTAAATTATGATGCACGTGATATATTAACCAGTTTTCTGTATCTTGTACAGCTGTGCTATTTAACATAATAACTGGGAACTTCATATTGTAATCATAACAAGAAGACATTTGAAAACATCTTACTCTAGCCTGGCTTTCTCATCAGAAACACTGCCCAGGCTTGAACCTTTCCTAGGCCTACAAGCCACTAACTCCACCTCAAAAATGAGTGTTGCACTGCAAAGACAAAGCTGATTCAATTATAGACACCAGGAACTCAAATTTGCATCGCATAGGAGAAATAGCAACAGACTTGGGTGGAATCTCTGGCGGCGACCCTGCACTTCCGTATGCGTATTCTGGCTTGCATGTTATTTTTGCAACTTCACCAACCTTCAATATTCCAATATGTCACTCCATATCAGCAAAATCTTTGAAAGAATCAGAACGAGCTAGCAATAAGAATTTAGAAGTTTTATACCTTCATAGTTCTTAAAGCTATATCCCATGCTTTAATGACAGCTCCTTGCCCAATTTCAAATGAGAAAATAGAGTTGTCTTCATGAGTGGTGTCGAAAACTTCACCATTTTCAGCGAGTGTGCCTTCATAATGAACTGTGAAAGGATATAAATGTAAGTGGGCTAAGTATTGTGTTATGTCTTGTATTATGCACATACTCAATTACTAGTAATATACATAAATAGTTTTACACATCGACATGACAAACGAAACACAGGCATTCACTGTGTGGTACTGTCACTGATAAAAAGAGTGGAAACACGGCTGAATGAGAAATTATTAGGATTTAGGACCAATTAACCAACTTATAAATGTAACTCAACTGCCTAGAGATTGCTAATCAAGCAGAAGGAATTTCATGGAAATGATTGGATTGAGAAATAAATATATGAACTGCAGTACCATCAACCAAGGGAAGACTATCAGTTGGAGCTATAGCATCATCCTTTGCTTTTCTGACCACCGTCTTAAGAACACCTCCATCCCCAGTTAAATCTGCAACCTCTGCCATGACCTTGCTATGCTATCAAAGCTCCAAAGGAGATCCTGGGTGATTATTCATCATAGTATTAGAGTATGTATTATAACAGATCCAATCTTCATCAAATCATAAAGTACAGGCATCTAGAAAATTGGGGGAAAAATCACTTTCTCCACTTATTTAAATTCACTGCTTTCACAATTTCAAGCCAATATAAAGGTGCCCCGTACTTTCAAGTTGAACCTTAGCGTTCCAGAATTCCACAGAAGAGGACACCACAGCTAATGACCTTTAACTTGAAGAGGGACAGCTGTGGAAATATCCTAACCAAACGTTGGTAATCAAGCATGACACTCATTCTGCACTCCCCACAGCAGCATAATCAGGTATGTCACTTTCCTTTTCTGAAGGAAAACACATAGACCAATCCCAGTCTCTCCTAAATACACCCAATCCAACTATCGCCTAACTGGGACTGCATTGATGCAACCAAAAGGTTGCCACTGCTGTGGACGTGTGATCAGACGTTGCTGCTCCTCCCCAACCAACAAGCCTAATACAGACCTACACCTTCTAGCATTCCATGCGTGTTATCATGATACAGAACCGCGAATCCCTCGTTGCAAAGTTCCATTGGGCATCATTCGGGGCAGTAAAACAAGCCGGATAGACCAAACAGCGGGGGTCTCGCGGCATATACCCTCACGGAAGATCGCTCGCGAAATCGAACTGTTCAAGGTACACCAGATTGGAACACGCCCGAATCGAAAAGAGCCAATCGAGCCAGCTGGGGGGCAACAGCAGACACGTACCGCGAGAGCGCTCCCAAGGCGGGCGCTAGGATAGCTCGCCGCCCCCCACCGGAGAAGCCCTCGCCGGCTCGCCGCCGCCCGCGGGAGAACCGAGCAATCGCCGTCTCGTCGCCTCTCTCTCTCTCTCTCTCTCTCTCTCTCGATTATTCGCGAGATTGGGAAGATAGTGATGCGAATGGGATGCCTCCCCGTAGCGGTGGATGTCTCGACACTCGACTCTCGACTCGAGCAGTGATGATGCCTGCTGAGTGGTGGGCCATGGGAGAAAGTACGGGTGGGAATATTCGTATGGGCTTTGGGGCCTTGAGTAGTGAGACACGGCCCACTATGGAAGTTCGCGACCTAACTCCTAAGGGCTAAATTCACGGCCCATCTTGAGAGGTGTGCAATGAAACTGAACTGAACTTTTGGCCTGTCCATGGGTACGGGCAGGTATTTGACGTCTTGCTAAGGCTGTGTTTACTAACTTTTTCCATCACATCAATCTGTCATATATACATAACTTTTCAGTCACATCGTATCAATTTTAACCCAAACTTTCAACTTTAGAAAGAACTAAACACAGTCTAAGTTGCTAGACAAAGGCCTGAACTTCTTTTCCCGTGCGTAAGACGATTTGGATAGAATGTACAGTGCAGTTTACTACTCTCTATCCAAAATAAGACTACAAATCTGGATCGTCTTAGAATAGTTACATTCTTATCTAGATACCTAGGTGCACTTATTTTGGGACTGAGGAAATATATAACAGTGGCCAGGTATAACGGTAAAATGGTGAATCTAGAACAAAAATTATCAGGTATCTATACGCATACTTAACATGTAGGGCTTGTTCACTTTGCTAACATTCTCAACATTACCAAGTTTTAGCATTATCAAATTTTGGTAAGGTTGTCAAAATTTTGGCAAAGTTGCAAATTTTAGTAAGATTTTATATGTATTTACTAAAATTTGGCAACAAACTAAATGTAGCCACTTTTTTATAACTTTACCCAAAAAAAAAGGTAAGGTTGAAAATGTTAGCAAAGTGAACAAGCCTGTATAATAGGCATTAGAGGTGGAGTAATTTGCAGTGATAACACCTGTCCTGTGTACTAAGGTTAACGTGGCTTTGCCCCCGCCCCCGCAGATATACCTGCCGTCCAAAAAGAAAAAGTTTGGGCTTTGAACCTCTATATAGGCTATGTTCAAATTCATAAGTATTTTTCTTTTTTTTTAAACAGAGGAGCAGGCTAAGGTTGTAAAAGTACACCTTTTTCTTATCTTGTCCTACTGTCCGAAGAAGCTAGTCTGTGGACTGTGATGGCTGGGCTGGCAAGTTGCTGCCGATGGCAACAGGTTGCTCAGGTACGGACGTGTCGTTTAGGGTGCGACGATTGACGATTCACGACGACGACGACTGTGCTGTGCTCAACAGTGCAGACGCTCAGCTGCAGCATGCAGAGCCATAGCTGGCCTGATCAGAACAGTAAAGCAACGGCGCTCGATCTGCTCTTGGCCGGCCTCTCACAAGTTGTGAATTGAAACCTGCGTGATTTCATTTCGTTTCTGTAACGTCAAGAAGAACTAGAAAGAAAATGTACAAATACGAACCGAGAGAACGAGGCATATATATAATTACAGAGAATGTATATGAGGAGTACGTAGTTTCACATATTTCGTCCCTTACATTTTCCATCTAGCAATGCAATACACTTTTTTTTCGAACTCCATTTAGCAATACATATATAGAGCTCCCCTGTGCTACGGACGTGGTTGCATTTCTCTCGATCGGAACGTGAAGAGAATTAAGCAGAAGAGAGACCGGCTTAAGCTTGTAAAAAATGTACGGTCAGAGGTAGTCGACGTCGCGCCAGCACGCGAGCATGGTGATGCATCGGCGCACGATGTAGAGCCGCGCGCGCTGCTCCTTCACGAGACGCGCGCACCGTCGCGGGAACGACGACGACGGCGGCGGCGGCGGCGAGCAGGATGCCTGATGCCTGCTGCCATTGCCGGCTTCCGAGCCGGCGCCCGCGGTTCTCCCGATCCTCTTCTTGCACGGCTCCCTGCGCTTGACGCCCTGATCCTCCGCCCGCGACTCCATCGCCTCCATGGACGAGACCAAACGCGCGCGCGCGCGCGGCCTTCTGCTTGGTGCGCGTGAGCTCAGTTAGTGTTGTGATCAGTGGAGAGCGCCGCGGGTGAAATCAAGCGATCGATCAGCTATAAATAGCTCGCGGCGAGATGGGTGGCAAACTGGCAATGCTACCTAGCTCTCGGCAAGGAAGCGACTTGTAGCTAGCTAGCTATAGCTATAGCGAGCTCTGCATCGTGAGTTTATCTTGGCAAAATTGGTTATATAGCATCGAAAGTTTACGTTTTTTTATTTTATAGCACCGAAAGTTACCGGTTCACTTTAATAGCACCCAAAGTTCACCATGTTCCCATTTTTAACACTTCCGTCAATTCTCAATCGTTTTCCGTCCGTCTTGATCCAACCACACACACGATATGACGTTTCTACCCCTCACAAGTACAAGTATAATGCATGTCAATGAGGGGTAGAAATGTCATATCATGTGTGTGGCTGGATCAATAACAATCAAGACGGCGGAAAAATTGACAGAAGTGCTAAAAATAGAAACATGGTGAACTTTGGATGCTATTAAAGTGAACCGGTAATTTTCGGTGCTATAAAACAAAAAACGTGAACTTTCGATGCTATATAACCAATTTTGCCAATCTTATATATCACGGAGATCATCGCGGAGTGGAGGTGTGTGGTGTTGCACGCATCGCGTGCAGTGCAGGACCTTTGGTATATGTCCCACCGGCCGGGGCCTTTTGTAATTGTATCAGTATGTATTGTAGTACTAGTTTGTACACGTGCGAGTACTACCTTTTTTTAGTTGGAAGTATCTAGACATCACAAGCGCCTGAAATTTTCAAAAAGAAAAATCCTGTTCTTTAGATGGCAATACAATGATTCTAGTTACTCCCATGTAAAAAAAAACGTTGAATGATAAATTATTGTAACCTACGAATATTTATAAAATTACATGAAATAAATTTATAGCTCATGAAATTTTAAATAATTAGATCAAAACAATTCAAACATATATAGATAAAAAAATAAAAGTAAAACCATATAAAACAACAAAATTAGAGTTAAATGATTGGTCATTTTATAGCACTGTAAAACTATGTTTATCAGTATGTAACTTTAGGTGATTGAAGATTTACAAAATTGCAGGTGCTTGAAAACTAGCAAAGTTCTTTTTAATTATATAGAAGATACGCGTGCTCACACATACCACACCATGCACTCTACGGTGTTCTTCGTAACACACACCTACACATAAAACCTTTGACCCCACTGCCTTCCTACTCAAACCTTGCATTACGGACACTCTGAATTGAAAACCTTGGTGAATAGAGCCACGCAACCAGGAAAAATATGTGGTGGAAATTTCACCATCACACATATTATTTTCTATTTATATTATACGCTTTGTACCATAATATTATTGAAGTAACATGTAATGGACTCAAGAATAAAACAATTAAATTTCAATAATACATTTAAAATTCAGAATTAGCAATTACAAAAATTTAGAATCTATCGTATACATACTTTCTAGATTTTTTTTTCTATTTTTATTTCATAATTTCATAACGAGGAATTGAAAATTTTAAATTTTGGAGTATCAGGGTTGTATTCTTTTGTGATATTATTTAATATTTGTTAATTTAATAAATATACAATTCAATATTAATAGCTATTGAGTTGGCATGGAATATATAATATATATTAGTTATAACTCCATCCAGTGTTGATGGATGATAGATATATTCAGTATTTCTCTGAGATAGATTAATGTAAAATTTTCCTCAGAATACCAATTAGTATAAAATATACTCCAAGCATATAATAAGTATAGGAGTAGATATGGATACATGGAGCATTAATTATATGTCTGATGGCTTTTGTTTTCTCAGTTCTTTGTTCTATTTTATGATTATTCATTGTGTGGAGGAGCTAGGTACTCTAAAAAGCAATTGATAATTAATTAGTCAGTTAGTGTGAAATTGAAAAGGCTAGATTTTTCAGGTTGTGACTTTTAGTTCATTTTCCTTTTCTGAATTATCAGAATCTGGGTAAAAAGTAGATTACCCGTTATAGATGAAACTATGTACAAGAAAGGGATGAAATTTATAAGAAGAAATTAAAGAGAATATACACATACTGAGCATATATACCCACACTTAGCATGATCTAACTATAGTGGATGGAGAGACGGGAGACATGAACCCAAGTGTTGTACCATCGTGCATTTTGTGGCTGTTTGTGCAAGAATTTACGACAGTGCGAGAGACTGAATGCGGCTGATTTCAACTCAAACGAGGGGATAAATCGTCGTTTTCAATTGGAAGATCGAAACCAGAACCAGACATGAAAGCTAATCTAATGGTTGAATAATACACGCAAGTTGAGGAACCATTGTACGCGGAAAGGATCAAAGTAGGCATGGCAAACGCACTTGCATGCTAAATAATTAAATCATTAGCTGGTCCTGTGCTGGAGTTGAAAACGCTATCCACAAATTTCATGCCGACAAGGAAATAAAAAAGAAGCATATATATACAGGATGAGAGAGAGAGAGAGGGGGGGGGGGGGCAAGTAGAATAAAAGAATAAAAACATGAATTGCACAACACCATCCAATGTGAGGTTACATCGATCTTGTCCCTACCTCTAGCTTAGTTTGAGAGACAAATCAGAGCACAAACCAACAGGCACAAGATGGGTACACGATTTTCATCCCAAACCGATCGAGAGTCGATATACCTCTCCACACGCCACGAACTTGTACAAGCACCCACTGACCAAAAACACCGCTGATCAATCCGCACCGTAGACTACGAGCACATGGGGATATCGGACGGCGGCGGCGGCAGCTTCTGATTCGGCAGCGGCCCGTCGTTGACGAGCCACGCCATGGACAGGCCCCAGCTCAGGTGCACGTCTAAATGGCAATGCATGATCCAAACACCTGACACACATGACAAAGCCAACAGTTTATGGCATAGACAACGCAAATTAATCCTAGTCAACGAATAGAACCAAGAGAACAAAGAAGGTAATGCCCCCTGTACGGATGCATAGTCAGAAATGTATTTTTTTTAAAAGATAATTTTTACCTTCGTTAAGAATAAATTGGGAGGTACCATATTTCTCTAATATTATAAAAAATTAAAGGTGTTTTTGTCTAAAAGTTTCGTACGTTGTCCGTTTCCATTATCGTATCGGTTTCAATTCAGCCGCCGTTTGCTCGCTCGGACTGAATATGAAAATTGAATCGAGCGATACGAAGACGAGGATTCTTTTTTTGCTTGACGTATGCAAATCTAATTGGGCTGTAGAAAGCTGGCCCAACTAACAATATGGGCTGTCAACTTAAGGGGAAGGAATAAGTCTATTTTACCTACCTAGGTTTTTGCCTATGATCAAATAAAAAAGTATCCGGTTTTAGTTTGGTTCGTCTGGTTTATATTTTTGTCGCCATTTTTTCTTCACGCGGAACTTTTTTTTTTCCCGCGCAGGGTAAGCCTTTTCTTTTTTGTCTTTTTTTCGTTCTCTGGTCTTATCTGCATGCGCATAGCGCGTCCCGCCTCAGCCACCGATCTTCCGGTTTTCTTGGTCCTACACGAAACGGTTTTTTTCCACGTATGCGGTAAGTCCCTTTTTTTTCTTTTTCTTTTTTTTCCATTTTCCCTGATCTTTGATCCGATCTGCACGCGCTTAGCGAGCCCCGCCTCAGCCGCCAAGCTTCCGCTTTCGTTGGTCCGTGCGGTTTTTTTTTGTCGCTTCTTTTCATATGGTTTGTTTCTTCGCACACGGTAAGTGCGTTTTTTTCTTTTTTCGATCTCGTCTGGTCTAAGCCAAACCCTAGCGTTGCTGCCACGTTCGATGTACCTCCTGTATGTTTTCTACTCTAACTGATTGTAAAAATCGATTTCACATTCCTCCATCATCATTTTCCCATGATTTCCTGGACTTTAATTTACTGAATTTAATCTCTATTTAAAAGTCGTTGATCATGGCAGGTCGATAAGCTTTTATTCGATTCGATTTTGGGGGAAAAAAGAGAAGAGGAGATTGGGTGGATCAAAAAGTCCTCAACCAATTTAATTTTGGAAGATCGAGAATAATTTGACCAAATTTGGCATTGTACAAGCAAGGGACTACCTTTTGGAGGTTGATGACCGAAGAAAGACAGGGCGAATGGAGGGAGGTAGCGGACTGGGCTAGGACTAGGACTAACAAAGAAAAAAAGATTGTGCTTTCGGTCTAAAACCAAGAAAAAAAATCATTTACTTTTTTAATTATAGTGTATAATGATTCCAATGACTTAGCTCTTAATAGTTGTTGTTTCATTGAAAAAATATATTTACCCGTTGCAACGCACGGGTATTTTTTTCTAGTTTTATATAAAATTTAATATCGCTAGGTATTAGATATATTAAAAAAATTAGTGTAAAATTTAGTTATCTTAAGATGTTTTCTCGATCATAAAAATTCCCTTTTTAAATGAAGGTATAAGTATAGAGCGGGTAACCAACCGGGGTTGTCGGCGACGAAGCGGATGGCGACCCAGCCGGCGGTGGGCACGCTGATGGTGTTCCGCTGCACGGGGTCGACGAGGTTGTACTTGGCGGTGTCATTGCTGGCGTCGTAGTTGCCGAACCCGGTGCCGACGACGTAGAAGTCGTAGCCGTGCAGGTGCAGCGGGTGGCTCTCGGCGCCGAGGATGCTGGTGTCCTGCAGCACCACCTCCACGGTTGTGTTGAAACTGAGCGGCACCACCCTGGTGCCGTGGGTCACGAACGTGTTGTTCGGCGGCGTGCCGGTGTAGTTGAACGGCGTCCGCGGCGCCGCCGGGAAGTTGGCCGCGAGCACACCGTTGTACCGCCGCTGGTAGTGCGCCTGGAGGAGCGACGTCCTGGGCATCACGAACGACACGTTGTTCATGGACGCCGCGAACCTGGTGTTGTTGGGCCCCTGGCACGTCCCGTTCACCGGGCTCTGGCACGGGTCGGCGCCGAGCCCGACGGCGAAGAAGAAGTGCCTGTCCACCGTCCGCGGCACCCGCGCCGGGTACTGCGCGCTCGCGAGGCTCCGGAAGCTCGCCGAGAAGTTGGCCACCGCGCCGGTGTCGTTGTACGCCGGGAGGGACGGCAGCGGGAGGCTCCGGAGCGCGGCGGCGGACGTCGCGGCGCCGTAGTACTCGAGCACGGCGACGGCGGTGGTGTTGTCGAACGTGCCGACGGTGTTGGTGTACGGCGCGACGGCGATGGCGAAGGAGCGGGACGGCGGGTTGTTGGCCGCCGCAGTGAGGAGCACGTCCATGGTCTGCCCCGGCGAGATGACGAGCGCCGTGGCGGCGAACGGCTTGACGTAGCTGGCGTCCGCCTGCACCACCATCAGCGTGTGGTTGGCCACCCCGAAGAAGAGCTCGTCGTTGAGCGCCGCGTTGATCAGCCGCAGCAGGTACGTCTTCCCGGGCCTCACCCTCAGCTTGAACGTGTCTGCGCAACGAGAAAAATTAACCACGAGTCGTTCGTACAGTGTCACAGTACTGGGACGTCGATCAATACGGGCCGTGGCGTGTTACCGTTGGAGGAGGAGCAGTTGTAGGTTGGGCCAGGGAGGCCGTTGAACGTGTAGGCGTCGGAGACGTTGGGCCCTCCTCCCGTCTGCAGGGCCTGCTTGATCACGGCCTCCGGGTCGGCGTTGAACCACTCACCTGCCGTTCGGTCGCGTTTCCCATCCCATATCAAAACGTCAGATCGGTCGGGGAAAAACCAAAAAAAAAACGTAACGAGAAACGCACGTACCGAGCAGGAGGGGCACCTCGCGATGGGGCTTGGGGAACGGGTAGGCGACGCCGCGGGGCGGGAGGATGACGAGCGGGCCGTAGAGCGTGGCGCGGAGCCAGGAGAAGTGCGCGTGCCACCACAGCGTCCCCCGCTGCCCCGTCACGGTGAACCTGTACACGTAGCTTCCCCCGGAGCGGATCGGACACTGCGTGATGTACGCCGGCCCGTCCGCCCACCCGCTCCGCACCTGCCGAATCCCGTGCCTGCACGCACACGCGCACGCGCCCGCTCGGTTAATCAATCAGCGATACGATCGTTGTGACATGGCGGCGCGCGTAGCTGCGTACGTACCAGTGGAAGGTGACGTTGTTGTTGATGTTGTTGGTGACCCTGATCACGAGGGTGTCGCCCTCCCGCACGACGAGCTTCGGCCCCGGGAACTGGCCGTTCACCGTGGGGACGCTCTTCGTCACGCACAGCCGCGTCACCGTCGCCATTGTCACCTGCCATTACATATTGTAGCAGCAGCCAAAGATCATCGTAAGCAAACGTGACACTGCGACGAGCATGGGTTTTACATCGCCCGAGCAAATGCAAGACACGGCATATTATGTATTTTTACATTGAAGGAGTAGCGGCGGGTGCGGGCGGCGGTGAGGCCCGGCATAGCGAGGAGGACGGCGGCGGCGAAGAGGAGGCATGCAGGGGAGGCCAAACAAAGGAGATGACGACCCGTACTACTACCCATTGTGATCGATCTTCTCCTGCAGCAGCTGTAATCAAGCTAGCTAGCTGCTTGATCGATCGATTGATCGATCTCGAGCTGTTTCTGTGTGTGTGTGGCTGGCCGGGTGTTCGATCGATATGATCTTGGAGGGAAGTGAGCGGCTATTTAAACGGCCGTGCCCGGTGTCGTGCATGGTAGGAGGTCACAGAGTGATAGTGGTTGGCTTGAGTTGGTGGACGTTCATAAAAAATTCGCGCCCGGGCCGACTCTTTGCTCCCTCTCCGCTCCTTTTTTTTTCCTCTTCTGCGGCTGCCGTCTCTATCGATGTAGGAATTTATAAACCTGAGAAAAAAAATGCTTGTAGGAATGTTTAGTTAAGCACTCTGTTGATTTTATTAGCCAGCTTTGTCTTGATTCGCTTATTAGTTAAGCTTATACTCAAGCACTCTGTGCGTGATGGTGCACCAAAGCGCATGCAGGCGTGTGTTCGAAATATCACTTTCGTTTTCACAAAAGGGTGTATTTGTCTCCCTGTTGAGTAAGAAATAACCTCAGATGAACTGTAATTATGCAGAAATTAAACTTGTTGTTTCTGATGATAAGTTGAACAGAGCTTATCGATCGATTGATTCAACATTTTCTGTCCCTAGCATGTATGGAACTATGGATCGACTTGGGTGATTAATATAGTTGTATGCATGCAGAGGTTGGACCGGAAAGGTGGGCTGGTGGGGTTACTGAAGAGTTTTCCCTGTCTGAATATATGGACAAACTGTTTCGGAGCTTACCCTGTTGTGTGCCATTAATCATTGGAACACACATGATAATCTCATAATCTTGCCCCTAGTAATAATCCAATAAGGTGATATATCACCTTCTGAAAGCATTATGCATGGGACCTTAACTGTGAGTGCCAAAACTCTCTAACCTTTTTAAGGCTGGTTTTACTCATTTTTCTTTTCCATAGACGAGTGCTAGATAATACTATCCTGCTTCATCAACTCTGCAGAAGAATGCGAGTTCCTTTGTGAACTTCTCAAGTAAACTATGGACCCCAACGTCAATTCATGATCTTTTAAAACTTTTTTTTTGCCATTTTTTCTTTCCCAGGATACCAAAATTGAAATGATACTGTTAGGGAAGAAAAATAAATAAATTGAAGCACGAGGTGTGTATGGTTCTCGGTGTGTTGCTTAGAGCTGTGGGGTTGTTGCAGTGGAGCTTGTTGCTTTGGGCAGATTGGATGTGTATGCTACCTTGTGATCTGATATGATCTGTCGGTTGGGACCCAGTTAAAGTGTCTCATTATGTCTGTCTTAGTAACAAAGGGAGGCTATGGAGGTTAGGGAACCAACAACTAGTACATATCTGAATAACACACTTAAATCTCATGCTTTAAGGCGAGAGAACCACTTTAAATGCATATATTTGTATTCCATACTGTTTTTTTTTTGAAAAGAAGTATTCCATACTGTAGTTTAGAAGAGATACTACCGGTGACACAGTAATCCATCTCTTTCTTCAATGGTATGGCTATTGATTTAAAAAAGAAACTAATGCCCTTTCATTTGTAGAAAAAATATAGGAAAATTGAAGGATTTTAATCTTGTAGAAAAAAAATCCTATGAATACATTTGAAACTATCCTATTCTTTCCTTTGAAATTCCTATGAAATTGACAATCCTATAGAATTTGATGGAAAGTTAACAAGAGCTCAAACCTCTTAGAAAATTCCCTACGAGTCTATCTCTCTTATCCCATTGCAATGTTTCTATTTCTATTTTTTTTTGTGTTTTGCAATTATCTGTTTTACACTTGTATTCTTGTTAAAAATATGTGTTTTTCCTATTCCTCTCTTTTTTCAACGCATTGTTTTAAAGAAGCCCTAAAAGATTTGCTATTGTTATTTTTTTATGCAGAAGATCTGCTCTTGCAATAAATTTAGTTTGATGTTAGGTTTCATAACCCACAAGAAAAATGCAAAGAGAAGATAAAGGAAACAATGTTGTATGATCGATTTAGCCATTTAGGTGTCATTGCACTTAACAATAAAGGGCAAAAAGAATACAGGAATGTTTAGTCCAGTTTAGTCCAAGATTAAGATATACGCTTGGTGTTAAAGGATCAGCTTAACCAGGTAGGCAATTCAGGGAAATAAAAATAGCGGTTGATTTGCACCACCATCTGCACGTAAATCAGCAAGATTTAGCTGTTGGTTGGCGATGTGACAAAAAAAAAGTATTACAGCCAATTTAGTTGCGACGCAAACGGCCGGTTGATTCATCTGCGACTATCTGGCTTCAAGGTGAAGCATTACCATGCTAAACTTCTTTCAGTCTTTCACCGTTCTCCCTAGCTAGCGATCTCGTAGTCTGGGCGTTTGGCTTCATGGAGACAGTGGTTGCATCCGTTTCCGTTGGATCCAACGAACCCACGAAATTCTCACTCGATCTCGTGACTCGTGAGGCGTCAGAGCCAAGCTTACGGCCGGCTGGCTGGTCGATCGAGACGAGCAGCAGTATTAAACTGCGATTTGGTCAGTCTTGAGTTGCTGTCCAAGTATCGCCCTCCTCTCGATCTTCAGATTGATGAGTAGTGCAGAGTGCTCGAGTCAGGTTTCTCATCATCATTCTCAGTCGGGAAAACTACTCGCGACCGGCCGGCCGGCGAAACATGGATGGTTACACTTACAAACCTCATTTGCGACTTGCGAGCATGATCAGGTTCGAGACGGAATGATATAATTAACTTTATTGTGCTCTAGTGCAGTTCTTGGTGAACGGGTGTACGTCTCTGACAGTTGCAAACTGAAACGTTTCCAGCTCGTTACACACACTTGCATGAACTTGTGCTGATCCTGGTTTGGCAAGTGATCAAATAGACTGTTGTGATGAAAAACCGGCAAGCTTTGGAAGTTCGGATATGGACGCCTGGCCAATCCAACACTAGTTAACGGAACAGTATGTTTGTTTCAGGAATAGTGAAGCAGCATTACGAGATGTGACGGGAGAGGTAGCTATGGTATCTATAGCTACCAGGTGCTGGCTGGAGTTCTGCAGGCACCAACCGTACCAAACTGCCAGCAAGGCTGCCCAAATGGTGACCGTCCTGGATTATTCATAGGATCTCTGAATTCTGAATTCTGAAGTCTGAACTCTGAACCTGTCTTAAATTTTCGGCCCTGTTTAGTTACGAGTTTTTTTTCTAAACTTACAACTTTTCATCACATCAAACCTTTCATACGCACACAACTTTTCAGTCACATCGTTCCAATTTCAACAAAACTTCCAAACTTCAGTATAAAAACACAGCCTTCGTGTGTTCTTTCTTGGACCCTGTACAGCAAGTGCAGCACTGCATACCTCCTGCAGCAGAAAGGTACTCCCTCCGTTTCAAAATGTTTGACACCGTTAACTTTTTAGTACGTGTTTGACCGTTCGTCTTATTAAAAAAATTAAGTAATTATTTATTCTTTTTATATCATTTGATTCATTGTTAAATATATTTTTATACACATATAGTTTTACATATTTCACAAATTTTTTTAATAAGACAAATAGTCAAACGTATGTTAAAAAGTCAACGGTGTCAAATATTTTGAAACGGATGGACATCCGTACACGTATGATCATCAGTTCACTGCTAGTACATCTGGCAAGAGAGCGAGGCTTTGCTATCTGAAGAAATTACTGTGACCGCGACTAGTGACACAGATCACTCACTTGGGGTTTGTTTGTTTATGGAGGGAATATGGCCAATTCCTTCGGGTGGGCAGAAACTTTCGGTACTCCTAATGGACGGGTGATTGCTCCCTCCCCTCCCAAGCGATAACCCGCCCCTCCCCTTACTATTTTACCTCCCTTTCTTCTCTTACTACTACACCATATAAATTTGAATTAAAATTTAAATTTGAAATAGGCATGTAAACTTTTTACTTATAAACTTTGGGTCTATAAACTAATATTTGAATTCAAATTTAAATTTGAAACGGGTATGTAAACTTTTGACCTATAAACTTTGGGTCTATAAACTAATATTTGAATTTAAATTCAAATTTGAATCAGGTATGTGTAGCGCCCGTTCCGTCGTGGCGCCTAGCGGGAAAATTAAATTCTAAAAACCCTAATTGTGAAATCCATTTCTTTGCTTGTTGTCAGTCTCCGTGCCAATCTCTAATCTCGAATCCCCGATCCTCCGCCAAATTCAAATCCCAAATCCAAATCTCCCAAATTCCATCCCCTCTGAAAAAGTTTAGTTTGCCTCCCTCAGGTTCGGTGGGCTGATTTCCCTCTCGGCCCATCTCTCTCTCTCTATCTCTCTCTCCCTCAGCTCTCCCCTCCCTCGCTCTGCTCGTGCGCCGCACGCGCGCGTGCGTGCGCGTGAGCCGACGCCGAGCCGAGCACCCTCTCTCTCTCCCTCTCGTTCTCTAGCTCTCTCTCTTCTCCCCGCCTCCATCCCCGGCAAGCTCTCCGCGCGCCGTTGCCTCACGCGCGCGCGCCCACGCGGTCGCCGCCCGAGCCGCGCCTGCGCCGCCTAGCCCTGCGGCTCTGCCGCACCAGTGGCCGCGCTGCCGCTCGGACCCGCGAGCCAGCGCGCGTGCCCGAGCCGCGCCGCCCTCGTCCGTCCAAAACCCGGAGACAGAGCTCCCGCTCCCATCCCTCTCCCTCCCCAAATTGGCATGGTGCGCACCTCATTTCTCCCCTCCCGTTTCCCGCCTTCCTCTCTCGGACCGACGCCTCGCCCTCCCTCCGTTCCCTCGCTCGATTCCAGCGCCTGGACGCAGAGGAGCAGCCGCGCCGCGCCAGCCGTCGCCCATGCCGTTTGACCCCGCGCCCGTGAGCCCTTCTCCTCGAAGCTCCCTCGCCCCAGCACTGCTCCGAGGTCGGTTCCCGAACCGACATAGCCACCCCTTAAAAGCCGCCCCTCCCCCTCTCGCTCGATCCCCCCGTTTCGCTCCGAGCCGCCGCGCCATTGCAGCCATGCCCTGTTCTCCGTCGCCGTTCGTCGTCGCGCGTGTCGGAGGAGCCGGCACGAGCGAGGACGCATGACGTGGACTCCGGGCGCACCCTCTCCTTTCTCTTCCCCGGCCCGAGGCCGGAGCGATCACGCCCCGCGCTGTCGGCCATCGTCACTGCGCCCCTTCACCCCG